TATTGTTTTATACATGTCTCTTTGTAAATGTACGTATGTATTTGGGTGTTATTTGTTGTTTTACACAACGCTGTTAATACGTACTAGTTGTGTTTTGTCTATCTTGCGCGCAAAGTCTTCCACACATGTAAGTCCGCTTACACATATTCTAAAAAAAAACACATTAATGTGTGTGTGTGTGGCATGATAGTGCTGCACGCATGCAGCGCCATACATTTGGTCCTTGGTATGAACCCTGGGGTTCAGACCACCATGAAAACAAAGGGGTTAATATAACCGCCATTATTTCCTCGAAGGAGTTTCACATCCAAATTGAGTCAGCATTCTTTTGTCGGGTGTTGAACCCTAGGATGAACATGAGGTTATGTTCATGCACTGAGTCACTCATTCGTGCGTAGCTGTCTAGTGATCATCCAGAGATTTATCCGTATGTATGACTATATGCATCTGCATATGCATGCGCAACTATTGACATGCATATATGTGCGTAAATGCCGATTTGCTGGTACGTGTGTGAGTCCGACATGATGACATGTGTTGCTTGTACAACAATTGATTCATACTTACGTAGATGTATATACCCTAAGGTTCAGCCCCAATTAAAGATTTGGATGATCCTGAACGGTACATAATTGTGGTGAGTTATATGAACCCAACCACACCCCCCCCACCCCCCCACCCCCCCCAACACCGCCACCCCCCCGATTATTGTAGTTGTGGCCTGTCTGAACCCCAGGGGTAGTAAATTATGTAACCCCAACCACACCCCCACATCCCCACAATCCCTGCCTAATTTCAGGGTATACCTACATGTCAAACCCTGCGAGGCAGTGCTCTCTGGGGAGCCCTCCGAGGTGTCCAAATCCCCGGATCTGCCAAGGGACCCACAGGCGATGGCTTGAGGGACCCATGGCAATCCGGTGTTCGGATGCGCCGCTTACGGGGGAGCCGCCGCTGGCGTTTCTTTTTCCTATTAGGGTTGGTTTAAAGCAGGTTGGCTCAAAAATCGGATTCGGCCCAAAATGGTTTTGGCAAGTGGCAAAGTAGACTACAACCTGGGGTGCCCTCGCTCGTAAATTTGGAGCCACACCCAAACAACACTTTTGCTTGCCAGTTTAGAGTGGGTGTCCTCTTGGCGGGCTGGCAGTGAGGCTCATAGTCAAGGGATTTTGGGAACTGCTGATGCAGTTTGATTTCCTTTCTGGCTTGTCTCTTTTGTTACTTGGATGGTCCCGGAAAAAATCGCCAAGTCGCCATTTAGCTATGCCGCAGTTGCCATCTCCGGGGTTGGTTGTCACAATTGGCCCCTTTGCGGGCCTGCAAAACACATCGCAGGTCTCCAAAAGCAGCGAGGCCCAATTTGGACAGATTTGGTGGCAATCACTTCTCCATATGGAGCGCGTGTTCTAGATGACCCACGGTTGGACGTAAAGGTTCTAATAGCCGCCTTTACAACCATCGTCCAGGTAGTTTAAGATTGCTGCCTGCTTTATTTGTTCTTTCGATTTTTGCTTGCCTCATAGCCAAGTGCTATCTCGACTCATTCAAGCCAAAGCATCGATGTCAGCCAGGCGCCCTTTCAGTCCAACATGCTCTACAGCGCCACGGAGTCTTGGATACGACGTACGTCGCCAGAAGGGGCTTGTCTCAAAATGGAACCCCGAAAAGGGGGGGGATGGGAGGATGGGGTCGATGTCCCATTCAAAGAGCCACCAAGGGTACCGTCAACAAAAACTTCAAAGCTTGAAAGCCGTGTAATTGTAGGTAGGAGAGCAGACACGCTTGAACACGACAGATAATTCGGGAAGCTTCAATGTGATGATTTATGTGGTCTTGGGCGTATTGCTTTGATGCTGGTAGTTCATTGTGATGCAACAAATGCGATATCGTTGTCCGAGTCCGATCTCTTGCTTTTGAAATCCTTGAAGGAAGCCTGTTGGGTCATGGGCAGTGAGACCTATATCTCCTGCATGTGCCATGTTCGCCTGAGTTTAGGTATCAGGGCCTTCTCAAAGTCTTGCGTTCTCCCAGCCATGGCCGCGATGAGATCTTGCTTGCTGTCTTTGGTGGCTGTGGTGAAGTGTGCAGACCTTGCCTGCACGGACGCTGAGCCACAGGCACCCAGGGATGTGACTCCAGGCTATGTCGGACACTTGACAACCAGGTATGAGCCTTACGGCGAGGAGGAGCGGCGGAACTTTCTGCAGGCCAACCTGCACTTCCACCTGGGTGCCGAACACAGGAGCGCCGGAGAGTATGATCAAGCACCTCCGACATCGGGTCTTGAGAGCACGGTAGCTCCTGGCCTTTTCTGCAAGACTGACGGCTTGACCGCTCCGGAGCTGTCAGGCTACACGTTCGAGTATTGCAAGAATGTGTCGGTGGGCAACACCTACGAGTTCCATTGGGTCTTCTCCAGCGGCGCCCCAGGCCAATTGGCGGACGATGGCAATGAGGGCGAGCTCGGCATCTCTGATGGCTTGGGCGGTGCCTTTGCTCGTACCGTGAATGCGGACGTCATCGTGCGCGGCCAGGTGTGCCTCATCTACAACAACGCCTCCCTCGACACGGATGCCAAGATCGAGGCAGACTATGCGGACTTCCTCATGAAGTGGCGCTCGCCGGCGCCCGGCCAGGCAGTGAAGTACGTGGGCTCCACCACTGGCTCAAGCTACAACGATGAGGTTTGCTCGCCCGCCGAGGTGAACTGGCACGTGGACTTGAAGTGCTGCAAGTTGTCGGCGCAGGCCTTTGACAGAAGCTTGAATGCAATTGGCTTGGGCCGTTAAAAGTTGAACCTTGACATGTCTGAGTTTCCTGACACCCAGCCACAAGCTAAATAAACACCTTGCGCAGTCAATCACCACCGAGGAACCTGCAAGGCGATGTACGACGAAGGCTTGCGCGAGGACCTGAAACCCAAGGGCTCCCGCCCACCGGTGGACAAGCGGTTTGTTGCAGACGTGACTTTCCCCTTGTCGCATGTTTGTGAGACGCCTGTGCGAGAAGGAAATCGGTGAATTGGTAGACTTTATGGCCAAATCCGCCCAGCACCAGAAAGCGTTTGTCACTCACAAATCTGAAGTTTTGAGCTTGTTCACAAGCTCACTTTTTGTTAGCTCAATAGCTTGCAGCGCACATATTAAATGTGTGTTCGCTGTAATCGATTTCTGCGTAGCCTTGAATTCTGATATTTCGCCTGTGAGGGGCGTGTAAGGTGTCAGACAGTAGGTGGATTGCCCGAGTGCAAAAGGCTTGATGACGAGCAGGAGGCCTTGCCGTTTTCGTTTGTCGAATATGGGAACAACATATACGGGTATGTCTTAAACTTGCAAACCTTGCAAAAGAGCATGTCGCAGTCAAGGGCTTACAGCTTCGGTAGGTTGAGATACCTTTACGTCTTACTGATGAACGAGAGAAGCAACCAGTACAATGCACGGTGTCCTTCAAGTAGCCGTTAGCGGGGCTTGAGGCTTTCTTCTTTGCCTACATCAAGACAACCCCCGACTCCACTGAGGAAGTGGTGTCTGGCTATGGCAAGGCTGAGGTCACGGACACTGGCATGCGCACGCAAGTGGGCCTCATCGCCAAGCGATTGGGCCAGAAGAAGAGCATTATGGAGAAGAACCCCCTCATGGTATCAGTCAACAAGCGCCTGGGACTTGATGAGTACTAACAAGGGCCAAAATCATCAGAAAGGGGTTGTGGGGTACGAGTGAACAAACTTGCCTCATTAAGATAGGACAGTTATATATACAATTATATACAGTTATTGCGTGCACTGCTTTGTCTTACTCTTTGTCGTGTTTGGGCGGGTCGCCTTTGACAGTCATTTCAAGGTGTTGTACGTCTCCTTCGGCGAAGTCTGGATCCCTCAAACATCCGCTCGAGTGGTACCATTTAGCTTGTTGTGGAGTAGCGTTCTTGCGCCAGTTCGCTACTAACAAAACATATATTGGCTATGGCTCAAATAGTGGTACACAAAATGGCACCTATATGGAAATCAAGTCTGAAACTTCGTAACCCAGCTGCTGTAGTTTCGAGCCACACCCATATGGGTTTTTGTGTTTTTCAACTTTAACAAGCAAAACACTTCCATGTGCTTTGCAACAGCTATTCCCCTGCGCCCTGCAGGTTGACATGGATCCCCATCCGCGTTGTTTTTGCGGACCCCGTTTTGGGTTCCATGTTTATTTGCGGAGATAATGGTATCCGTGACATTGCTCCGCGAGTTAGGCTGGCGACCTACTTGGCAGCGGTGCTTGTGGTAGTGATCTTGCTAGCGACTGCGGTAGCCTTCAAGACAGGGTACCAGGACCGGCTGGGAAGCTTCGCACGAAAGGACATATACATGGATCGACAGCTGCACTTCCAAGCATGAACAACATATCTGCGAAAGCCCAAACTCAACATAACTGCTTCCCGATGCTTTCCCCTGCGGAGTGTGGAAGCATCACCTGCTTCTGGCAAATTCAAGGACTGTCCTTTTGGGGTGATGTTTAGCGGACAATTTTAGGCCAGGCTGCTTTTTCAAGCATTGCCGGAGCCTTCCTTGTTGCCGCGCGGTTTCAGCTGTGACCAGCGTGCGACCCATGTATGAGATGTGTTTTTCCGGGTTTCGAGGAAGTGCAACCCCTTTGCGCCGAATCGACGCCCACCACTTTTAGGGTCCTCCATTTCTCGGAGGTTCCGAGAATGGGGTCCCTTGAAGATGGGGCATTACTTTAGGCTTGCCTGTAGACGGCCATTTAGAAGGGATTAGTTTTCCTCTTTTTTTTTTTCCGGAAGCAACCCATGGGTAGTTGTGTTTCGTGAATTGTTCCAAGTGAAGGTTCTCCGTTTGCGGAGTCGATGAAAGAGCAAATGAGCAGTTTGTCCACCAGCTGACATGCTAGTTGTGACCATTACTTGAATGGCGAGAACAAGCAACCAGTAGGTTTCCGAGCCATAATATGGGGCTTTGTGCTGCAACAGATAATCTTAAAACAAAAAATCCGCGCACATCCGATTATCAAGCTGGGTTTGTTGGCTCTGAGCACGCTAGGACCCTGCGAAGCCGTGCGCGGAAGAGGACGAGCGATGCTTCCTGGAGACTGCAGCTTTGCGTGCTGTCGTCATGGCGGTCGCACTGATTCCCCACGGAATTCCGCTGATTTGCGCCTGAGCTGCTCATTTCTCGGCTTCCCGACGAGCTGACAGGTTGGCACATGATCAATTGAACCCCCTCAACGATCTTTCTCGCACTCCTCGCAAACCTAAACCAACCATAAGATCTGGAGCTCCAAAAGCGGTATGCAGAATAGAATGAATATGTTTTTCAAGCCAATGTTTCTATTGTTCAAATCTTGCTTCAGAAACACTTCTGCTAAATTAGGTGGAGGCGTGGACCTTGTCATTGCCCAATAATGTCCAACATGAAACTTGGGTTCGGTTCAGCCGCTCAATCTTTGGCGGGATGGCGTGCAGTAAATCATGAATCACGCCTTGACCTTGGACCAAGTTGATGAATGCCAAAACAAAATCAGAACAAACCAGCCACATGATTAACCTTTCATTTGTTGTGAGCTAACCAAACAACCGGCTATGAGGGGAAACAAACATCAAAACTATCAACGCAGGAATTATATAGTCTGTGTGTTTGTTGCCTCTATTTGCATGTTGTGTTTGTGTGGCAAAAACGCAAGCGGTCTTTTACGGTCAAAAGCGGTCTTTCATGGCAGGCAGCGGTGTTTCACGACAATTTCACGGCAATTTCATGGTAGTTTCATGCAACTTTCAGCATTGTTCATACTAGAGCCCAGCAATGTACTTTCAATGATGATTTATTTTTCACAATATGTTCAGAAAGACAGTTTCCGCAGTCCTCAAATAGCGAGATTGGAATGTTATGAGCTATTCGCTGCAAATTGCTTCGAACTTTATTATCGCTACACTACAATACAATCGTTTACTAGCTATCTATTTTGCAATGCAAACTTGGGCATGCACAGTTACTCCTCGAAAAGGAAGGTTTAGCTATGATAATCTGGCTGATGCACATCAGTGCAAACTGCACCAATTGCAAAACATAAAACTTGATGTTGTAACGCAAGCATGTCTTCAGGCACTGCACTTGACTCCCCGCGCAGGCCAAAGAGCCAATATATTGGCAGGAGGGCTTAAAGAGGATGCTATGTTGCACAAACGGCTTTTCTGGCCAAAGCAATGTTTTCCGGATAGACCATTTTAGAAACGGTCGAGGACTTCCAGGGTACGTGATTCACCTGCGGATGGATCCGGGAAACAGGCCTGACGTAGCAACCCATTAGGGCTGCCCCGGCGGAAAGGTTCTTAGAATCTTCCAAGTGGTCCTTTGCCGTTCTTTGCGCTTGTTTGTATCTATCCTTTCCTTTGACGTGTTTTGCTTGTTTGTTTTGGCTCGCGTTGTTTTTGCTCGCGTGGCTTGCTTGCTTGCTTGCTTGCTTGCTTGCTTGCTTGCTTGCTTGCTTGCTTGCTTGCTTGCTTGCTTGCTTGCTTGCTTGCTTGCTTGCTTGCTTGCTTGCTTGCTTGCTTGCTTGCTTGCTTGCTTGCTTGCGTGTTTGCGTGTTTGCTTGCTTGCTTGCTTGCTTGCTTGCTTGCTTGCTTGCTTGCGTGTTTGCTTGATTGCTTGCTTGCTTGCTTGCTTGCTTGCTTGCTTGCTTGCTTGCTTGCTTGCTTGCTTGCTTGCTTGCTTGCTTGCTTGCTTGCTTGCTTGCTTGCTTGCTTGCTTGCTTGCTTGCTTGCTTGCTTGCTTGCTTGCTTGCTTGCTTGCTTGATTGCTTGCTTGCTTGCTTGCTTGCTTGCTTGCTTGCTTGCTTGCTTGCTTGCTTGCGTGTTTGCTTGCTTGCTTGCTTGCTTGCTTGCGTGCTTGCTTGCTTGCTTGCTTGCTTGCTTGCTTGCTTGCTTGCTTGCTTGCTTGCTTGCTTGCTTGCTTGCTTGCTTGCTTGCTTGCTTGCTTGCTTGCTTGCTTGCTTGCTTGCTTGCTTGCTTGCTTGCTTGCTTGCTTGCTTGCTTGCTTGCTTGCTTGCTTGCTTGCTTGCTTGCTTGCTTGCTTGCTTGCTTGCTTGCTTGCTTGCTTGCTTGCTTGCTTGCTTGCTTGCTTGCTTGCTTGCTTGCTTGCTTGCTTGCTTGCTTGCTTGCTTGCTTGCTTGGTTGCTTGCTTGCTTGCTTGCTTGCTTGCTTGCTTGCTTGCTTGCTTGCTTGCTTGCTTGCTTGCTTGCTTGCTTGCTTGCTTGCTTGCTTGCTTGCTTGCTTGCTTGCTTGCTTGCTTGCTTGCTTGCTTGCTTGCTTGCTTGCTTGCTTGCTTGCTTGCTTGCTTGCTTGCTTGCTTGCTTGCTTGCTTGCTTGCTTGCTTGCTTGCTTGCTTGCTTGCTTGCTTGCTTGCTTGCTTGCTTGCTTGCTTGCTTGCTTGCTTGCTTGCTTGCTTGCTTGCTTGCTTGCTTGCTTGCTTGCTTGCTTGCTTGCTTGCTTGCTTGCGTGGTTGCTTGCTTGCTTGCTTGCTTGCTTGCTTGCTTGCTTGCTTGCTTGCTTGCTTGCTTGCTTGCTTGCTTGCTTGCTTGCTTGCTTGCGTGGTTGCTTGCTTGCTTGCTTGCTTGCTTGCTTGCTTGCTTGCTTGCTTGCTTGCTTGCTTGCTTGCTTGCTTGCTTGCTTGCTTGCTTGCTTGCTTGCTTGCTTGCTTGCTTGCTTGCTTGCTTGCTTGCTTGCTTGCTTGCTTGCTTGCGTGGTTGCTTGCTTGCTTGCTTGCTTGCTTGCTTGCTTGCGTGGTTGCTTGCGTGTTTGCTTGCTTGCTTGCTTGCTTGCTTGCTTGCTTGCGTGGTTGCTTGCTTGCTTGCTTGCTTTGCTTGCTTGCTTGCTTGCTTGCTTGCTTGCTTGCTTGCTTGCTTTGCTTGCTTTGCTTGCTTGCTTGCCTTGCCTGCGCTTGCTTGCTTGTTGCTTGCTTGCTTGCTTGCTTGCTTGCTTGCTTGCTTGTTGCTTGCTTGCTTGCTTGCTTGCTTGCTTGCTTGCTTGCTTGCTTGGCTTGCTTTGCTTGCTTTGCTTTGCTTGCTTGCTTGCTTGCGTGTTTGCTTACTTACGTGTTTGCTTGCTCGCTTGCTTGCTTGCGTGGTTGCTTGCGTGTTTGCTTACTTACGTGTTTGCTTGCTTGCTTGCTTGCTTGCTTGCTTGCTTGCTTGCTTGCTTGCTTGCTTGCTTGCTTGCGTGGTTGCTTGCGTGTTTGCTTACTTCTGCTGCTTGCTTGCTTGCTTGCTTGCTTGCTTGTTGTTTGCTGCTGTTTGTGTGGTTGTTTGCGTGTTTGCATTTACGTGTTTGCTTGCTTGCTTGCTTGCTTGCTTGCTTGCTTTCTTGCTGGCTGGCTGGCTGGCTTGGGTGGTTGCTTGGTGTGTTTGTTTACTTCATGTGTTTGCTTGCTTGCTTGCTTGCTTGCTTGCTGCTGCTTGCTGCTTGCTTGCTTGCGTGGTTGCTTGCGTGTTTGCGTGTTTGCTTGCTTGCTTGCTTGCTTGCTTGCTTGCTTGCGTGGTTGCTTGCGTGTTTGCTTACTTACGTGTTTGCTTGCTTGCTTGCTTGCTTGCGTGGTTGCTTGCGTGTTTGCTTACTTACGTGTTTGCTTGCTTGCTTGCTTGCTTGCTTGCTTGCTTGCTTGCTTGCTTGCTTGCTTGCTTGCTTGCGTGGTTGCTTGCGTGTTTGCTTACTTACGTGTTTGCTTGCGTGCTTGCTTGCTTGTGTGTTTGCTTGCGTGTTTGCTTGCTTGCTTGCTTGCGTGTTTGCTTGCTTGCTTGCTTGCTTGCTTGCTTGCTTGCTTGCTTGCTTGCTTGCTTGCTTGCTTGCTTGCTTGCTTGCTTGCTTGCTTGCTTGCGTGGTTGCTTGCGTGTTTGCTTGCTTGCTTGCTTGCTTGCTTGCTTGCTTGCTTGCTTGCTTGCTTGCTTGCTTGCTTGCTTGCTTGCTTGCTTGCTTGCTTGCTTGCTTGCTTGCTTGCTTGCTTGCTTGCTTGCTTGCTTGCTTGCTTGCTTGCTTGCTTGCTTGCTTGCTTGCTTGCTTGCTTGCTTGCTTGCTTGCTTGCTTGCTTGCTTGCTTGCTTGCTTGCTTGCTTGCTTGCTGCTGTGCTTGCTTGCTTGCTTGCTTGCTTGCTTGCTTGCTTGCTTGCTTGCTTGCTTGCTTGCTTGCTTGCTTGCTTGCTTGCTTGCTTGCTTGCTTGCTTGCTTGCTTGCTTGCTTGCTTGCTTGCTTGCTTGCTTGCTTGCTTGCTTGCTTGCTGCTTGCTTGCTTGCTTGCTTGCTTGCTTGCTTGCTTGCTTGCTTGCTTGCTTGCTTGCTTGCTTGCTTGCTTGCTTGCTTGCTTGCTTGCTTGCTTGCTTGCTTGCTTGCTTGCTTGCTTGCTTGCTTGCTTGCTTGCTTGCTTGCTTGCTTGCTTGCTTGCTTGCTTGCTTGCTTGCTTGCTTGCTTTTGCTTGCTTGCTTGCTTGCTTGCTTGCTTGCTTGCTTGCTTGCTTGCTTGCTTGCTTGCTTGCTTGCTTGCTTGCTTGCTTGCTTGCTTGCTTGCTTGCTTGCTTGCTTGCTTGCTTGCTTGCTTGCTTGCTTGCTTGCTTGCTTGCTTGCTTGCTTGCTTGCTTGCTTGCTTGCTTGCTTGCTTGCTTGCTTGCTTGCTTGCTTGCTTGCTTGCTTGCTTGCTTGCTTGCTTGCTTGCTTGCTTGCTTGCTTGCTTGCTTGCTTGCTTGCTTGCTTGCTTGCTTGCTTGCTTGCTTGCTTGCTTGCTTGCTTGCTTGCTTGCTTGCTTGCTTGCTTGCTTGCTTGCTTGCTTGCTTGCTTGCTTGCTTGCTTGCTTGCTTGCTTGCTTGCTTGCTTGCTTGCTTGCTTGCTTGCTTGCTTGCTTGCTTGCTTGCTTGCTTGCTTGCTTGCTTGCTTGCTTGCTTGCTTGCTTGCTTGCTTGCTTGCTTGCTTGCTTGCTTGCTTGCTTGCTTGCTTGCTTGCTTGCTTGCTTGCTTGCTTGCTTGCTTGCTTGCTTGCTTGCTTGCTTGCTTGCTTGCTTGCTTGCTTGCTTGCTTGCTTGCTTGCTTGCTTGCTTGCTTGCTTGCTTGCTTGCTTGCTTGCTTGCGTGCTTGCTTGCTTGCTTGCTTGCTTGCTTGCTTGCTTGCTTGCTTGCTTGCTTGCTTGCTTGCTTGCTTGCTTGCTTGCTTGCTTGCTTGCTTGCTTGCTTGCTTGCTTGCTTGCTTGCTTGCTTGCTTGCTGCTTGCTTGCTTGCTTGCTTGCTTGCTTGCTTGCTTGCTTGCTGGTGTGTTTGCTTGCTAGTGGGTTTTTCTTTGCGCTTTCCAAACTCATACGCGCTCTAGGCACCATCATGCTGCGGGTGGGCTCCATTGAGATGGCCAGGAACCAGGGGGTGGTCATGAAAGTCTCCGCGGTGGCATCCTGGCCAAAAGCGAAGAGGGTCCCGGACACACTTTCGGTTGGTGTTCCAGGGACACCGATACCCACCATTTTGGGAGCCTAGGTAAGAGGCATTCCGCATTCCGAGCTTGGCACTTCCCATGAAGCTTTGAGAGCTTCAAGGGAATTACGATACATCCCACCAAGAATGACTCAGCAACGGATCACGCACCAGATAGAAATGCATGGCATCATATAAGTTGTTTTTTAGGTAACGGTTGCAAGAGGGCGCATATCCGCACAAATCTACGTCTCCCTTTCGTTCACCTACCCGAATCGGTTTTGAGTTTTGCTTGGTCAATTGGTGGTTTGAGGACCGGTTTGGAGGTGTAGTGTGGTGTAGTTTGTTTTCCGTGCCAAGACTCATAAATTCACATCCGCAAGGTCATCGGTAAGAGGTTACACTTCCTAAGACTAACATGGCAGCTCACAGAAGGCATCTGTAAATGGAACCAAGTCTTTCTAAAAGGGTCCTGGGAGCTGCTATGTTGGTCTGGGGAGGGTATCCCTGGAGAAGCCTGGAGCCAAGGGAATCCCTTTATCAGGCCTTGAGGTGTTCATGGGTGATGGCCGAGCCTCGCCATAGTCCGCCTTTTTCATGAGAATCCACAAATCCAAACCGGTGAGTGGTGACGAAAGGCGCCGACAAAACTTTGGTAGTGACCCGTGCTGTTGGTGGTCGCAGTCTGTTGTTTGTTTGGTCCTGTCCTACTGCTGTGAGCGTTTTGGGGCTGCAAAAAGCAAAAAGTGTTTTCGCGAAGTGTTTGGAGCATATCCCAGCAAAGGGTGGTCTCGCGAAGGGACAGATTGGCATAAGAGAAACCCATAGCAAACAAGAGGGCTGCCTTGGCCACGTCTAGGACTACTATAGACAACAATAGGAAACCATAGGGAACAATATGAATTCATAAGCCATAAGGAAAGAAACCATAAGCCGCAAGAAACCACATGCCAAAACAAAGCATAGCGAAACCGAGAGGACCCCATAGGAAACCATAGGCAAACCACCAGCCAAAAGAAACCAGGGACCCAAGCCCCCCTCTTTTGCTTGGGACGTGGGGTTTCTTTTGGGCCGCCTTAGGATTACTTGGCGGCCACCACGGTGATCTGTACCGACAAGACGGGCACCCTGACCGAGGGCCGTATGGCTGCGACGCAGGTTATGGGCTTTGCGGCCTCCGAAGCGGGGGAGGCTAGTGGCTTGGAATGAGGGTGTCTCTCCCTCTCCCTCTCTCCCTCTCTATGGTTTTCAGTGGGTGTTTTTTGGCGGTTCTCGTGCAGCAGTTTTTGTGTTCTGTTGTTTCTTCGTTTTTTTTTGGAGGGTCTCGGGTCTCCTGTCTTTTATTTTTTTGGGGGGTGTCTCTCCTTTTTGGCAGAGGGTACCCCTTGAATAGATGGTGATAGATGGTGTCTTGGAGTAGTTTGGGTTTTGCTGGAAAACAAGCACAAGCAGGGACCATGCACACGTAATTTCAATCAAACCCAAAGTTTCCTTGTGTGTTTGCCGGTTGAAACTCTCATCAAAGGAGGTGCAGCAAATATCGAATTCATCATCGCTAGTTGTTTCTTCTGAGGCGAGTTTTCTTTTTTGTTTTTGGGAAGCAGGGGGTCTCAAGCGAAAACCAGTTTTCCGCCAGTAGCTGGCTTCATTTGTTATGGCTGAAGCGTTATGGCAAGGGAATGAGAGCCCTGACCCATGTTCCTGATCCAAGCCAAAATTCTAGGCGATTGATATTCTTGCCATAGAAATGGGAACACTGCTTTGGTATCACAGAAAGCATTCTATTCCACCAACATGAAATCACGCTTCCATTTCTTGGTTACCCCCCGAAAGACTTTAAGCCCAACAGCGGTGCATTAATGCTGGGTGCTAACCCCGGGTTTCAGTCCTGGGAGAAGTAATACAAGGGGCTCACAACTAGTTGTTTTCCTCCTAAACTCATGAGTAATTGTGGTTGAAAGTACCCTGCGCTCCCACGCAGATTAAACATGGAACCCAAAAAGCACCTATGTGTAGAGGAGAGTAGCACCCTGCGCATACTTTGCCGAGGAGAGTCCTCGCTCTCCTTCTACCCGCTCAAAGGCGAGTACCGATGGGACAGTCGTAGGTCCGCATGAAAAAGCGAGGAGACCCGCTTCTGGCTCCGTTGACTTCCGCTAAACGAGCTACGATCCAAACCCGGAAAGGGGCAATCCATAGAGCGGTGCGGCCGCCCCCGATTCTTCATGATTGGTTGGCGGACTCCGCGAGTATCAGGTTTTGATTGTGGCTCACTTTGAAACAAAAAGAAGTGGTGCCCCATTGTTTCCTGGCTGGACAGCATGGTGACAGCTAGATGGTTCCTTTCAGATGCGTGGACAGTTGCCTGTTGGGCCAGCTCATAGTATTGTTTCTTTTGTGGTGATGGTTGAAGGGGAGACGCAACAAACACCTGATGTCATCAGAAGCAAGATCAACACATCACAGTAAAGAGAGAAGTTTCCCGTTCTCGGCAGGAGCGTTGGGTGTTGCTTGTGCAAAATGATCTCCCCCACCAGCAAACTGCCGCTTGCTCTTGTGTCAGTTCAATCTTGAACTTGTTTGGCTCTCTTCATTTTTTGACGACAACACAAAATGCAGCAAGGTTCTTGGTGACAGAGTGCTTGGGAACTGCTTCAAACAAAGCCTCAGTTTCCCGGACTGATCGGCCACTAAACTTAAGATTTACCCGTGCAGTTTCCCAGTTTTTATTGTATGGCTGGGCTGTTCAACTTCACAAATGTCATGTCTCCGGCTGTGAAAGTCTGATTTGTTTGTTGTGATTCAGGCCTGGACTGGAATCTGCACGGCATTATCTAGTCAATGTCCCAAAAGATGGATCCCATTCTAGGTTGGCGAGCCGACTCGAAACCCTAAGGCCACCCTATACCGACCTTAAGCACTAAACCCTCGTTAAACCAGCACTGGCGACTAAGCGAACCCTTTCCCAACCCTAGACCCACCCTAAACCCACAACAAATGGGAAGGTCTGGGGTTGGTTTGCTGGTTTAGGGCGGGCTTAGGGTCGGGTTTAGGTGGGTTTATGGTGGGATTAGGGTTGGTTTAGGATAGGTTAAGGGTGGGATTAAGGTTGGACAAGGGTTGGTATAGGGCTTGCTTCGGGTTTGAACACTCAGAATAGTTGAAAATTCAATACGCAAACAAACACACAAACAAACAAACAAACAAACAAACAAACAAACAAACAAACAAACAAACAACAAATCCAACAACGACGCCAACAAATCAATTTTGGTAATATTTTAATTTGTTGCATTAATATAGATGGAGACGAATCGAATGTTGTATAGTGCTTTGGATTTATATACAATTGTGCACCTGGCATGTTATATTATTCCTATCAATCAATTATCAGGTAACCAGTGTTACAATGATATCTGATTCAATAAAATTATTCAGTTCGCACAGGCACCTCAATTGATGTGAAATGAGACCTGTTGTGTTTCAGGTGTGACGTGTACTCGGTGAGCTGTTGTTGCTGTTTTGCGTGATTTCTTTTTCTTTGCCTTTCTTTTGCTTTGAGTTTGCCTCGCTTTTTCAAACAAAACAATCCAATTTGAAGCACATGATACATTGTGTAAGAACGCAAAATCAAATTGACGGCGGCCAATGTTATCTATATATATATACTCCAAGAGGAATTAGAAGATCTGGCTAATATTTTGGTATAGACGGGTTTAGGGATGATTTAGGGCCGGTTTGCGGGCTTTAGGGTGGGTTTAGCTCTGGTTTAAGCACTGGTTTAGGGCTGGTTTGGGTGGGTTTAGAATTTAGAGTTGGTTTACGGATGGTTTAGTGGTAGTTTAGGGTGGGCTTGGATTTGTTTACAGTGGGTTTAGGGTTGGTTTGGCTGGTTTCAGGTTGGCTAGGGCGGGTTTCGGCCCGGTGGTTTGGCGTTGGTGCAGGGTGGGTTTAGGGTTGCTACAGGGTTACGTAGAATTTTCTTAAATTGGTCTATATATATTTTTTGGGTTTTGATTTGGTTTAGTCGGGGTTTAGGGCTGGTTGATGGACTCCATTCGGGTTGGTTTAGGGTCGGTTTCGGGTGGGTATGGGGTTTTGTTTCGGGCTGATTTTTAGCGTGGGCTTAGGGTTGGTTTAGGTGAACCTTAAAACTTCTGTGGGGCTTCTTGAGCGCGGGTTTAGTGTGGGCTCAGGGTGGGTTTACTTGTGGTTCGAGCTCGTGGGGGTTTAGGCTTTGTTCTAAACACTCCTTGAACCCGCCCGAAATTCAGACACCAAAGCTTCTGGTGCCGGGCATATTGAACAGTCGGCAAAAAATGGCTGCGGCCAGCAACAGCAGCGTAACCGCGCCCGCCGAAATCTATGGGCCATCTACTAAGCGTTTGGGAAAGGGCACATGGAAAGCTCACCGTGCCCAGGTTGCCAAGGCGTGTCCGCATGCGTACATAGATTAGTTATGTATATACGTATGTGCATATCTATACAGATGTAGATATCCCCCAGTTGGGTGGTTTGGTTTATTTTATTTTTTTGCCAAGTACATGTAGTGCAACTGCTGCAGTGATTCTGATTTCGGCAGAGGGAAGGTTTTGGATTGTTGAGTTGCAAAGAATCCACTCCCCTAGGTCCTGATGAATAGTGGGGCCATCCCTCTCCAGCCCAGGGATCCAGTGGTCAGCCGTTTAGTATTTTCCTCGAACCCAGGGTCTGCGGTTTTTTGCGTTTTGCTCCTTTTGAATGCTGACCTTCAGTTCAACATGGAGCCCCAAAACCCGCCATTCTCAGAGGAATCTCCTTTTGGGGAACCCCAAAACCCACCATTCTTACAAGAATCTCCTTTTGGAATACCCCAAAGACCCACCATTCTTAGAGGAATCTCCTTTTAGGGACCCAAAAGGAGAATCGTTTTGTGGGTTCCATGTGACTTTCATAGGGGGAGCAATCGCTCCGTTCGCCAGGCCTGTCGCCGAACGGGGGTATCTTCCCCACGGCCTCGCTCACGCAGAAGCACAAAGAGCCGCTTTGTCCTATTCGATGTTCGCTGAACAAAGAGGGCCGCTCCAAGAACCACTTTGAAAGATGCTCGCACGGGTATGGGTCAAAATTAAACCGGGACCGCAGGTTTTAGTCCATGTTTCCATTACCAGGGTTCCATTTTGGGTACCTATTTTTGACCCACAGCCACACATTAAGCTTGAGACTTGGGTGGATCAAGTCCATGGCTTCCATTTCTTTCGTTGGAGCCGGTTTTTTCTGCCTTCTTTGGGCAAAACAAGTGACACATGTCTGTCCTTGGGTCCTTTGTAGGAGCAGGTAGGAGCCATTATACTGCTGTAAAACCTGCATACTGAAAGAAAGGGGAGTGTGCCATCTAGGTGATACGAACAAGGTTATGAGTCGGTTTGGGGGTTGTTTGAAGCCCGTGCTCAACTGATTGACAGGGAGTTAGGTGCTGTTCGCTGCCAGCTTTCTCCGAAATCCCTGGATGTGCACTTTCCAAACTGTACTTGCAGCTTTGGACCCAGTTGCCCAAGGGTTATGAATCAACACAACTCCGTGTCCAGCCTTTAATTGTTTGCCTACTTACCTATGGATGGACATTTTGATTTAGGGTTTGATTTAGGGCACTTTCTGTGATAGCAAAGGGGCCCCAAAATGCCCCTACGTGACAAAGTATATTTTCCACACCTATGTTGACCCCCAAAAGCTTTTTACCTTCTTTTCCAGGTGTCCCTTTTTTTAATGCATGCTTGGGAGTGGGATCTCCAGCTGCCTCAAGGCCTCTTAGGTACCAATATGTTTCGGGTGGAAACAATGACCCACTAAAAGTTCGTCACTTTTCGCGGGGGATCTGAGGGCGACCCAGTACTGTATCTGTTTTCAACCATCGTTCTTTTCAAAAATCGACCGGTTTTTCCTGGGGATTCCGGAGGTTTTCTAGAAAGAAGGATTGGACAGAATGTCAATGGAAGGTACCCCTAGACTTGCTCAGTTGTTCAGTGGCACCCTTGTTCCCGTTTTTTGTGTGGCTGCCCCACTAAACATGGTCTTCCCCAAAAAGGGTTCCCTTTTTTCCAGGGTCACTGAACAGAGCTTGGTATCTGAGGCTCATGGATCAGCGCTTCGACCCCCACATCCGGCGCCAAGACTTCTCGCAGCCGGACCTGCCGGACCTGGGACTGGCGGAAGCGGACACGGACGCGGGGCTCTTTGCGAAGACGCCCAGACTGGGCCGGAAAAATTCCGTGGGTGGACGAAATCCATTTCGCACCACTTGGAAACTACAGGAAAAACCAGTGTTTCTTAATAACTAATAGTATGTGCAGGGGAAGCATCATTCGAGGGTGTCTTGGGCGGTGCAGGATTTTGTCCACCCACACTGTGGATGGACGAGATCCTGCACCTAAGAAGCTCTGGAATGATGATTCCCTGGAATACCAAGAAACAATGGTTTCCCATAGTTTCCAAGTGGTGCAGGATTTCGGCCATGCACAGTAGGTGCCCAAACCGGAGCCCCTGTGAATGGAAACAAGGACTAACACATGTGTTTTTTGTGGTTTAATTTTGACCCCTTCCCAACTGATTCCAGGTCTCCGCTAGAAACTAGCCTGGATCCCAAAAAGGGGTCGATTGCAGGGGGATATTTACCATCAACGTCACCCCCTAAGTGGCAGGCTGAAGGAAAACAAAATCATTGTCTGACTTTGATAACCCCGACCCTCCATTAAAAGGACAGGCCCAAACAGGCCCAACTTGTTAGGGCGACAACCCCCAAAACCTGTCACAATGAGTCGACCTCCAAAAGCAGTAGTTTCACTGTATAACCAACCATTCCAGTTTAAATCTGTGGTGCTTCTCCCCTTGGGCAGAAAATCACATCGCTTGTCCGAAGTCATTGAACTTGCTTGTTGCCCGTGGGTTCTCTTCTGCAACACAATGGATCCCAAACCACCCAGGTGTGCGTTTGTCTTCCCGACAGTCATATCTGGCGGGGGAGTAGTCCTTGACATGTTTGTTTTGGTATATGCGCAGCTCAGGATTCATCTGGCCTGCGCCTTTCTCTCCTGCCACAGCACGCAGCTGCTGGATGCGGGCAACGGCCACTGGGAAGCCCGGGGCAACCTCACGGAAGCAGCGCTCAAGGTGAAGCTTCCGAGGGCATCTGGGGAGGTGACTTTTCGGGGCCTCACTTGGGGTATGTCCCCCATTTTTTTTTTTTTTGGGAGGTTTCCCCTACTAAAATAGAGTACAGACAAAAGGGGTACCCTTATTCTGACCTCTCTACTGGAATGGAGGACCTAGTTGGGGGAAGGCCCCTAACCATCTTGGGGGCCTCACAGTGGACACCACAAGGAAACCGTGCACCTATTTTTGGGGTTCCCCTATTTGCTGCTTGAGTTGCCATGACACAATGATCAAGCTTCAAATTTCGAAAAGACACTTGGACCTGTGAGGCCCAACATGCGCCAATTTGTACCCGGCGACGACTCAAAGTGTAGGAATCCAGCCTGACGCGTTTGGTCGAAGGTTTAAAAAAGAGAGGCCTAAGGATTTTTTGGAGACCCCTCACCTCAGAGCAACTGCCTCTTGTCATTGTTCATGTAGGGATCCTTTCAGAAAATGGCGACCCAGCCCAGGCTTTTGGGGTGAGTTTTTTCTGCATTTCCCAAGACAGCCGCAGGTGGCAGCTGCCAAGGGCGGCTTGGAGGACAGTTTCTTGGACGCCTACCCGCGGCAAGCTGCGTTGGAAGCGCCGGGTCCAGCGGATTCGAGCCGAATGGGGGAGCTGACCTGGACGTAAAACGGGCTCATGGGATCCTTGGGGTTCTGCAACTCGCCTCAGCTTCTCTTGCAGGGATCCCGTTTTTGGGGTTGGTTCGTGCATTCACCGAAATTTGCGATGTTTGTTCAAAGGGAATCGACCTGATGGTGTTGTTCCCAAATAATGGTTTCGTTTAGCGGCGGCGGTGTGAACAAATTGACTGTATATTTCCAGATCCTTTTGGCACGGCAGTCTGTGTTTCTCTTGGACATTTGGAAGACGAAACCAACAGAGGGTCCCCTTTCGTAGCCTCAATTGCTTCCTCGGTTTTGTGTGTGGAGTGTGAGGTGTGCAGTCTTCTTCCGCAATGGCAACGGAGGCAAACAACGCAATCTGGCGATGGAGGCCAATCCCCCTTTTGGCGAACCTTTTTCTTCCCGCAAGGGTTGGTTCAGAGGGTACACGGAGTATCCGATAGGATGCTAGGGTTCAATCCGAACGAATCAAAATGAAATTGATGGTGAACCCTCTGAGTAAACTGCTTCCTTGTGGTTGCTTGTTTCAGGGTACTTTTAGGTACCATAACTAATACTGACGGACGAAATCCTGAACCTAAGAATCCATGCATGGTTGAAACCATTGTTGTTTTTGTCCAGGGGAATTGAATCATTCCAAACCAAGAACCCTGATCACACTGATGATCACCCTGTGCCTTGGTTGGAGGTTAGAAGGTCCCATTTGTTCAAATGGAATTGCGGGTCGGGAATCCCCGAACCGATGTTTCTTCGGTGCGAAACGGATTCTTCGTCAGCACCAGGTTGATGAACCCATCACTTTGACCTGTCACCGTGTGGGCGTTTTCTCCTTCAATCACGTGCTCAGGTATGGGCTCTGGAGGTACCAGCGTTCAAGGGGTATGACCCAAGTATGATTTACGTGTATGTATAGACATATACATACATATATATATATATATTATACACATAAGGTGGAGGCAAGGGAACCTAAACACAGGCCAAGGTAAACACCAGTTTGTGGGGGTTTTGGGGGATGTACTGGCCAGCTCCAGCGGTCTGCTCGCGCAGGCCCTCAGGCCCTCAGGCCCTGGAAAGGCCGGCAGGCCTTCAGGGCTGTGCACCTGAAATGCCTGGGATAGGCTTGAGGTGTGGTTGCGACCCCTCCCGCCAGATCCTAAAATCTCAAGAATGCCGCCTGGGCACCCAGGATTCTGGAGGTGGTTGAAAAGGGAAGGGAAGAGTCTGCTTTGTTTAATGTGTTTTGAAGTGTCTTGGAATTGTCTTACAAAGGAACCTTCAGAATATATGAGACACCAAGCGCCCAGCAACTCTGACAGAAAAGCCTGTCCAGACAACCACTGACGCAATGTCAACGTCATGGTGTGTGGCGCTGCAAGTAGTTCTCCATGGACAAACGCTGCATGGCAGTCACCAAGTCTGCAATGGCCTTTCGCTTTACCAAAACAAAGGAGGCAAACATATTTTGGAGCTTCTCTGGTCTGCCACAGTGCTCAAGCCATGCTCGTTGCTGTACAACGTCGACTCGTGCTTTTAGACTTCATTCTTGTCAACAAGGATCTTGCGTGACTGAGTAGCCTGCGGGCTCCTGTGTAGATTGCTTGCACCTTGTCACTGGTGACCTTGGGCTTGCAGCCACCTTGTTGTGCGAGAGCAAATGCACTCCTGAAGCTTGCGGGAGCCCGCCAGCTTCCTCTACAATCTTGTCGAACCTCATGCAAGGCAGCCCAGCGCTGCTGCCATAAATCCAGCAGCGCCATATCCAAAGCGCCAAAAACAGGGGCCCTCAGCCGGCGAGCGCGAGAACATCCAGTCCTGCTGCAGACCTCTCAAATGCTGCCCAAACACAATAACCATATCAACAAGAACGAATCAGCCTCATCATCAACGTCAGCGTCAACATCAGTATCAACAGAAGACAATGAGGACACACATGCGATGTGCCTTGCTATTCACATGACACCCCGTCGAAATGTTTTTTGAATAGGAGCTTAACAAAGGAAATGAAAAGGAAACCATCTCCACAAAAGGTAGTTTTGTTATCCCCTTTTGACACACACGCGGCTGTGGCCAGCTATCACTGCCAGGTGTCTCTCCGTATCTCTTCCAAGGAGGCCTTCTGTCGGATTGGCCCAGCAAACAATACGAAGGAGCGCACTTTGCGTACTACTTGTGTACTTAAGTAAAAGTTGCAAGTGTCAAGCTGGTGCCGCGCGAATGCTCTTCTCGTACTGCTTTTGTATTTAAAAGTTGCGGTTGTGCAGCCGGAGCTGCGGCAATGGTCTTAGCGTACAGCTGCCTCTTGCCCATGAAACGGATTAGGGCCGACCTCTTGCTCCGTAATTTTCCGTTCAAATTTCGAGAAAAAGGGGAAGTATGTTTGATGTCGGGTTTCTGGTGCTAGTGGAGCAGTATGCTTTTGCGGTCGACGCGTTGGGTGGTAGAACCAGTAGGAACATGATCATGCAGCACGAGGGCTCGAACAGAGCTGCGCCTCAGAACTACGAAGCGCGTCGGGAGATGCCCGCAAGTTTATGTCACAGCGTTCTGAGAAGATGGCAAGCACAAAGACACCGTGCTGTTTGATGAGCCCATGAAGCCCGAGCTTGGAAAGACAATGGCGTGAGGTGAGCCCCTTGCTTTCCCGCGCCGTGAGGTGCCCAGCCATCAACTTTTGTTCAGATCTGCGTGGGCGAGTGCTTCTTCGCGGCCGGGCGATGACGGCTTGATTTTGCGCAGCGTTGTCAGGCTTTTGGAGTGTGACCAGGCAGTCTGGCAGGCACAGGCCGGCAACGCAAGTTGAGATGACGGTGGCAACCTGTTCAAAGGGACGCCGCGCCCGAGAAATGGGATGTTGGCTCTTGGGTTTTTCGGTTCTTTAAGGTGGTGGGCCAGGGTGTCCTGCGGGTCAATCTGAGACAATCCAGCTGCTGGCTGGATGGGCCTGGATTGGAGCTCAGGCCAGCTCAGGCCAGATTGGCCTCCTCACCATTTCAGCTCCACGACCAATCCCCACAACACAGCCCCAAACCCACACCCAAAGCCCTCAACCATGGTGTTTAAGATTGCCCTGCTGATCACGAAAGGTAGCGATCGCTAACCTGGCGTTCTTTCTTGCTTTAGCAAGTGTAGGCGCCGCTGTGCTACAAAAAATATTTGTGGGGGCCCGGGGGGTTTGGCATGAAAGCGTGACCCCCCCCTGCTCCCTCCCCTTCCCGGGAAGCCCCCTTGGTCTGTGTTTGGACCGGCTTGACAGTCAAAGTGTTGGGGAATACGGTTTGCCGGACGCGGGAATGTGTTCAACAAAGCCCAGGGCGAGACGGTTGTTCACGAGGTGAGATGGGGTTCTTGCATGCGATAACTATCCTGGAGTGGTTTTGTTTTAGCATTTTGGCTTGCCCATGTGGTGCGGCGTGCTGACGTGATGCGCTGCGTGCCTTGCGGCTGAGAGGGCCGATTGTTTTCCTGGTTGGCTCTTAATTGTTTTCATCCGGGTGAAACAGGCCCTGCCATATCTGGGACAGTCTGCAAAGGCTGAAGAGCGCAAGTGCTCGAAAAGCGGACAGGCGGGGAATTGCTGGCACACAAAGGCTAAAGAGCACAAGTGCTCGAAAACCGGGCAGGTGGGGGACCGGTGGCATAGAGCTCGAGAACCGGACAGGTGGGGAACCCATGGCAGGGATCGGCTAAAGAGCGCAACAAGGCAGTAAACCTGTCCCTCCAAGAAGTTAGACCCAAGGTGAACAAATTGCACAACTAGTGTTGCACAGAGGTTGGCTCAGTCAGCTGTCCCTCACGTACTACCTTTCGTTCGCCCCGCACTCAAGTGTTTAAGATTGCTTGCTTCCACCTTACATATACACAGATACAAAGATAGAAGGAAAGAAACAAGAAATAAATAAAGAAAGACAGAAAAGTACATAAATAGAAACATATGTGTATGTATATATATACATAGATATATGTTTCTATATATACATATATATGCACATTCATCTCGAAACTTTCAAACACCGTACCCGACCCCCCCCCCCCTCCTTTGCCTCCTCGAGTCTGAAAGGTGCCCTTCAACAACACGCGGAAGATGGCGGCCACCGTCCACCAGCTGCCCGCGGACGGTGCCGCTTCGGAGTCCAAGTGCGCGCTGGGGATGAAATTCCCAGCAGAGGCCTCGCACTTCGCCATTCTCAAGGCGGTAACTCGGGGACGTGGGTTCTGAAGGCGAAGGTTCTTCGGGTAAATGGTGGAAGGTTTGTTGCGTGTCGGTTTGTGGAAGTTTCTTGGGGTAAAGCTTCTCTCGGTTTTGGTTGGTCGTTTCATCAGGGGCCACATTCACTCTGTCCCCTGTTTGTTTTTTGACATGGAAGTTTTGAAACATCCATTTTAGGGGAGCTTGCTTTCGGGCATGATAAACTGCGGGGCAGTATGGGACGCCATTCACAAGAAGTTGTTGGCTATGTCCGCGGCACCCACAGCGTTCTTGGGAACCATTGAATGGCAGTTATAGTTTATCACTTGGGTATCCTGGATGTTGCTGTTGGATTTCCTTCAGTCATCGAGGTTATGTTTCTAGATGTTAGAACTGACTGATTATGAGTACTGTTGCTGGTTTAAAATGGACACAACACAGACACCTAGCAACATTTCCCCTAGTTTTGAAACAATCCACGTGGATTTCTTAAAACAAACAGACGGCCGAGCCACAGGGACTACACATTAGGAAAAACAAACGCGGCAAAGAGGGTTCCAGCACTTGTTGGGGTCTATTTTGCAAATCCAGGGGGGTCAACAGTGGAGTCTGCCGACAAAGTCCGGCAGAGATGCTATCACCATCTGAAGGTCAAGATTGGCAGGTCTCTTGTTTGAGATGTCAGCATGCGACTACTTCAGCCTTGGGCAGAACAGCTTGCTTTGTATCCTTGGGCAACTATTTTTGTTTAAAATAGAGATGGTCTCGTGGAAAGTTGGTACCAACACACTGTCTTTCTACTACATCTTCTGACTTCCAACTATATGCTCCAACTATCATTTTTGTACGCCCAACATCTTCCATTTGCATCTTCCAACTACACCTTTTCACTGCACCTTTCAGCTATGCACGTTCCCCCCCCTTTTGTCACCCCCCCTCAACACCGCTTCGCTCGCGTCTCGCCGTCGCCCGCTCTGACAACGCTCGGACTTGGGATCTTGGAAACAGCCAGGGATGGTTCATGGCCACAGATGAGCGAAGACAGTTTTACAAGGGGGGTGGGGAAGTGGGGAAGTGGGGGATGGGGAAGGGGAGTTGCCTGGGGGGTGTTCCAAAAAAATACAAGCGAAACACATCCCAAACTACATCCGCACCCTTTGGTTGGGAGGTGGGGGGAGCTTCCTCTTTCGATTGGCTCCGAGTCACTAAGATGCGCCATCAATGCTCAAAAGAAAACGGGGGACAATCATGATGCACCCCAGATCCGCGCCTCAACAAACCGAATGGTGTCGTCGGCAAAGGGCGCACAATGGCCACCCGGGGTCGCACGCTACCAGGGAAGCCGCACAAATGCTGCACAAACGGCTGGGATGCATGGCCCAAGCACCCTCGTGAAAACCGTGACTTTGCCTTAGCGCAGCAGCAGGCAACCGCCAAAGTTTAAGCAAATGAGGCTGCAAAACCAGCCCGCAAAACATCAGTGATGTAGACTGAACTGCACCCTGGTCTAACCAATGTTGCTGTACTCCCCGCCCAAAGCCGACCTTTTGATCTTTCAGTTTCCCCACGTCGGCCAATGTGTAGTCATGGCTCCAAAAGGTTCACCTTTTATTTCCATGTCCCTAAGGGGCAGCTGAGTGTAAGTCTCCCCACAAATCCCCGGCATTCTCGAGCAATCGGCCACTTTTGCTCCAGCGAACAGGGCGCCCCGGAGAAGTTGGCGGAGCGTTGTGGCGCCCTGCCGCGCCTTAGCTCTCTCGAGCTGCAGCTTCCAGGCCTGGGAATTTTGGTGGCTCCATGTGGCTCCATGTGGCTGCAAGTGGCTATGAGTTTTCATGGTTGGAACTCTTGGAAAGAGGTGGACATCAATCCCCTAAATGATGTCCAAAAGGATCCCTAACTAAAATTCAGATCCATTTTTGCAGGGACTAAGGAAATTGGGGTACCCCCACCTGTTGCCCCACATACTAAGCAAGCTTCCTTTCTGGTGTTATCAAAGGGGGGGGGAATGGGAAGAATAGCGTGAGAATTGATTGGGTCGGAGGCGAAAACGCAGATACCCCCAAGTCTGACAGGAACACCTCAGGCTCTCTCAGGTTCCAACCCGTTAAGACAGGGGATCTCCGCGCGGCGGGTCTGTTCAATTGGGCTGACCCAAAAACTTCAAAGTCTCGGACTGGGAAGGAAACAGATTAGACGTGTTTGGCCAACGGAGGTTGTTTTTGTTGGTAGTCCTGGAGCCTTCAACAGGGATTGTTGAGATGTTCCTGTTCCGTTTTTGCCAGGATTGGCCGTCAAGACAACTTCAATCGTAGGATGGCCCCAGTGAAACAGTGGTAGGGAGTTCCCAAAGGAAACCAGCTGAATCCGCCCGGTTTTGGAGATCAGTGGTACAGGCTCTTTGATTTGCTTTCTAAGCCCGCGAAGGAACCAAGGCTTGCCCTTTGGGTGATCCAAAGCGAAAAGGAGCCCAGAGCTAAAGTCAGGATGCCACGTGGTGCCCTCGGTTTTTTTTTTCAACCCCACCCCCCCACCCATGCGCCGCTGGTTTCGAACGAGGCCGCCCTATGGAAGCGGCAGACCTCGCTCGCCTGAAGCAGCGGAACGCCGATCTGGCGCACCAGGCGGGTTGAATCGCTCGAAGTGTCGAACTCGTGCCGAGTTCCTGGACTACATAAAACAGGACATGGCTTGGGCCACTAAGCGGGCTAGTGAGGTTCAAGGTGGGGAGATAGCAGGGAGACTCAAAAGGCACAGCATCTTTATTTTGCTGGTGCGATAGGGAATGAGGGAATGAATTTGGGAATCCCCTCGAGTTAAAGGAAACCATTCCACAAGGGATGGTTTATAAGGGTCATTCCCCGAGCACCAGCAAGATAAACCAAGACATGTCCATACCTCGCAAAGGCCTGGCAACCTTTTTCCAAACAAAGGTGCGCTTTCAGTTAACATGTCGGTTTTCCTAGTGGTAACAGTCGTAGCTGGCAGGTTGGTCTCCCTTTTACCCCTTTTTGGGGGAGGGTTCCCCTACTAAAATAGACTACACAGAAGAAAAAAACGGGTACCCTTATTCTAACCTCTCTACTGGAGGACCTAGTTGGTTCCCTTTGTTCTTTTGCAGCCGGCAGCACCGAAGGTCGCAGATTTGACCGAACTCACCCGGGCAGGCGCTGCGGAGCTTGCTGCTGGCGGTCAAGCCCTTGACGCAGGCACGCCGAGGGTTTCCCCGAAGCAAGCCTGGCGCCTTCTCCCGCTCCCAATAACCAGCGGCCGTTTTTTTGGTGGCTGAAGACTTCACTTTTTTGTGTGGTTGGAACATCCATGTGTGTTTTCCAAAATCGTTTTATGTGTGGTTTGTTGCTCTCATGGTTCCGCGTTGCACATCCCCCGTTCTGCTCGGAAATCAGTCGCGGGTGCTTCTGGGTCCACTTGCCAGCGACGGGTCGGCTACACTCTTTCGGGTCCAAGAGGCGAGATTCCAAAGGCAAAAGTCTCAACACGGGGCAGCCAGATTTTTAACGTCTAGGTTTGGCCGCGCGGCAATTAGGGGTTCTAGGTTTCCAGAAAATCCATGAAGGGGTCTTGTTTTAAAGGGCCACAGATTTCAAGCGGATTGCGCGGAAGGGGTTGTCATGGTCTGGTTTGGTGGCGCGGAGGATATCCCATCATTGTTGACTATCCAAGCAATCTAGAGGTCGATCCCAGTTTGTCCTGCGTTTTTTTCTCCAATTGTTCCAGATACACGTGATTTGATTATTTTTCATCAGAAACCAGAAGGGGGTGTGTTTTGTTCAAGGCCCTCTATACCCCAATGTAGTTAGATTCCACCTTTTCGGTTCCCTTTGATTGCCGGTTCTCAGCAGGAAAAAAGAGGCAATGACCTGTATAAACCGTCCATCTGGTTTCCTTTGAAAGAATCCTCCTCATTCTGGTTCATTCCCAACACCCGGTCTTGGTCATTCCCTGAGCACCAGCAAGTTTCGCAGGTCGACTCTCGGGTGTATGGGGGCCCGTGGGTCTCAGGCAGAGATCGCGGCCATGTCGTCGGGCTCCGCGGATGATCGCCTGGCCTTGATCCTGCAGGATCCCGGCAGTGTGGCGCCGATCAGCCTGCCCCGCGGCGGAGCTTGGAACACAAAAAAATCCCGGACCTAGTATGGTGGATTCCCGAACTGTAGCAGCAAACCAACCGCAGCCAATAGAAACAGCAAACCAGCAAAGCCCTGCTAATTTGCACAATGCAGGGTTGTTAAGCACCGCGCCTCGCAAGTTGGAAAGCCAACTCGCCAACTGTAGTTGTTACGAAGTTGTTACCAACGTCTCCAAAGTCACGTGGAACCGGCAAAGCCTCAAATTGTACCTTTGGGCTTTGACTGACTTTCATTTGCTTGAGCCGCCTGGAAAGAATAAACATGCATATTTCCAGTAGTGATAGATTCCCTTTCAAACCAAATGCAAACAAGAACCTAAACAAATGGAAGCTGACACGGAACATGGCGATGCTCTGAAGGCCGGCAATTTTTCCAGACACATCCTGGCAGGTCTTGGGGGTTATGTTGAGCCCTGGTTAATTGTTCCACATCAGTTTTATCTTGCAAACATAGGTGTCCTTTTGGGAAAACAGATGGCCCTGGTAGAGTATGAGACAACCAGGTCAACCGGTACCTCTATTTCCGGAAAAAACAAAGCAAAAAAACAACGAAGAAGGACCCCTTGTCGCTCGGGACCTTGTAACAAAACAGATTGTAAAAAAAACAGACATCCTCTGACCAAATGTGCCATTGTCAATACTCCTTGCTCCTTACATGGCCTGCCATAGGAATCATGAAATTGGTAAGGATCCTTATTACTAGGTGGCTGATCATCCCTGTTACCCTCCCGACATGGAACCCTGACTGAGGTCCTGGAGACTATTATCCTTTAAAAGGGACCCTCTGGTGAGTTCCGTGTTAATGGACAGAAGGGAAACCCCGAGAGGTGTCTGTTGACCATGGCATGGTGCATGACCTCTGTCAGGCCAATTCAAGGGGGCTTTCCTTCAGACAGGGGAATGCCAAATCCTATGAGACCCCAAATGTTTGGCCCAAATCTGGGGTACACAGCAAACAACAAATTATTCTTTTGGCGCTACCTTCCTCTTTGGGATGTCCCCAGAACCCACTTCCACGATTGTTGCCACGCGGGTACCCTAAAAATGTCAAATTACTTGGGGCCCCAAATGATGACCCTGAAAATAGGGTATCCTAAAAAGTCTAGATCTAGAATCACTTCGGGCCGATTTGCAGGTTGTCCGTTTGCAACCAGCCCTTGTGCACACAAATCACTTGCAGTGATTTCAATTGCGACTATGGACGATAGTCAAGGAAACGCAATCGCTCGCCAGAGAAGAACCCCAACTTCAAGGTGGCCATTTTGCCGTGCGACTTCTTTGATTTACTTGCCTTCCCGTAGGCCGGCATCGAAGCAACGATGCCAAGTCCCACAGTGCACATGGGTTTATCCCTTCTTTTTTGAGGGCACCCGTTTCTTTTGGGGGCAGTTTGAGGGAGGGGCATGCGGCATGCTCACTCCTTGAGTTCCTGGGCGTTCGTCACTTTTTGGGTTTGGTTGCCATTGTGGTAAACCGAAAGTTTGGACTGTGTTTTTCCCCCATTCCACTCGATCGGAAGTGAGGAAGCTCAAACAGAACATTTGGACTGTTGTTTTTCTGCCATTCCACTCGATCGGAAGCTGTGTCGGGCAACCGCCCGTGTTAAGACACGCCTCGCCCGCCCGTGTCTCGACACGACACGCCACGGCCATAGCGACTGAGGTGGGGCATCTACGACCCGCCACGGGCCTCGGTGCCTCCGAGCATCGCCAAGTGCCACAAAGCGGGGATCCAGGCGACGTCGCCCTTTCTTGGGACATCGGGGCAGGGGGTCTTGCTTAGGTTGCTTCCTTTTGTTTTAGAGGATGTGTTTCTTTTTTGTTCTTTTTTTTGCCGTTTGTTTTTGTTTTTTCCCCTTTGTTGATTTTAAAAGGATTGTATCACTTACTGGAAATATGTTATTTTCCAGGTGGCTGAAGCAAATGCATGGTTGCCAGGTTATGGGCTACCTTGGTGATGCTTTGGGCCCGGCTGGGTCCTGTTGGGCCGCTTTGAAACTAGACAACTGGAATCCGCGAGAAGGCTGCGAAACGGAAACCGGCCATGTCAATGGTTTCCGTGATCCCATGTTGGTCCTTCTTTTCTTGAGGCCCTTGCAACAAGCATCATGTTCACAGCAAGTGATAAGACATGCTGTTTGAACCTACCCTCGGTTTACTAAGGTGACTTTGATGATACCATCGACCTTGCAAGGACGTCTTTGCTGTTCGGGCTTTTTTTTTGGTTGCTTTCTGCCGTTGGCTTTCGGTTTTCGTTTCGGACAACTCGGAGAAGTGGGGTATGTGTCACCATAGGCACTCCCTCAGACTCTTTGGGAAGACCATTTTAGTGCCAACAACAAGTTTGGACTTGTCCTGGCCAATCCACTCAGGAAGTGAGAGAATGGGTGGTTTCCCCTTTGGATGGGAACCTCCAAAGGGCACTCCTCAAACAACATGCACCCTCGCATGCTACTTTGCTTTGTTGTTTGCCATATGGGTGATTTTTTTTTGGAAAACCTCCAAAAACAAGGGGTACCTGGTACCTTGCAAAAAAAACCAAAACAGCCGGGTCTATTTACTCCCTTGTGGGCGTAATGTGGGCGGCATTCGGAGATCAAGGTTGGGCTGACACACCAGTGGGATGTTTCTCTGGAGAATATGTTTATGTGCCACAGGGTGGTCTTGACACCGCAGTGGGAAACTTGATCGGAAACCCGAGACCTAAGGCAGGCCTTTCTTGAGCCCTTTGGAGTCTTTACCGTCTTTACCGTCTTTACCGTCTTTACCGTGGGTGTTGGGCAGACTCATTGAATACCCGGCTATGACTCTTAGGGTCCTCTACCAGGGCAGCCAACAAGACCGAAGACCAGTAATCTTAATTTTGGGCGTTCCGCGCAACTTCAACTTGGGGCCGGCCCCGAGTTACACTTGTTTGGCCAGGCGTTCCCCTTCTCCGGTCAGAAGTTAGCTGATCAAAATAGAGACCCCTTTGTGAATGATACAGTGTAAGCGTTTGCCAAAGGGCCAGAATCAGATAGAAGGGACTTGGGTAGTTGGGCTTGGCAGGTCGTTATGATCACCGGGGACCAGCAGGCCACGGCAGCGGCCATTGGAAAGCAGATCGGGATCCTGCAGCCAGAGGAGTGGTTTTCACGGGAGCGAAGGCCATGGAGCCCTTCGGATTGAAGGCCCAAGGCCCACAGAACCCGAAAGGGCTTCCATGGGCCTGGAAACCTAGAGGTTGCAAAGGACCAGACAGGGTTGGCTTTGTTGCAGGGAGGCCTCACGGGTCGTTCGAAATGGACCCAATTGGAGAAGCAGGAGATCTAAGCCCCTTTTACCGGAAACCTCAGGGGAGGTTGTTAGGGATCTCCGATCCCAAGACTAGTTACATTTTCCTGGCAGACGATATGAAACGGAATTAGATAAATTGTGCTTACACCCCATGGCCAGATGTGGGCCAAGACCTTTCTCGTTCATTTGCTTGTGGCGGGCGGTGGGGGGGGGAAGTGCTGCAAAGAACTGTCAATTTGTGACTGCGCTTGTTAGTGGTTGTAAGGTATTCATTTTGGCGATTCACGCGGAGCAAGAGGGTCACGAAAACAGGAGGGCCAAGTTTTCATCAGCTTTTGGCAGATGCTTCGAGGACACCATGGAAGAGTGCACCGCGCTGTGCGGGGAGCTGCATGAGAAACCCCGGAGGAGTTTTCAGGCGCGGCTCAAGGTTCAAAGATCCTGGCCCATGACCCATATGGATTTGTGTACTTTTCAGGGTACGCTTTGCGGCATCTCAACCAAGTGTCCGATCATGACCGCAGAGTTTCCTTGGGTGATGTTTACAATCAAAGTTGACAAGGTGCCATATGTGATGTATTTTACAGGGGAAGCAAAGATTGAAACGGTGCCCTGGCAAGCTATGACTGACGTGGGTTTGCCTTGTTTTGGCGTATACTTTTTTTTGGTTGTTTTCTGTTTTTCAACAGAAAACCACAAGGAAGACCAGGTCCCCAAGAAAGGGCACACCCACATGCCGGGATGGGAGGACAAGCGCTTGTCGCGGAGGGCGTCCGAGATCCTGCGGGACTCCTCTGCCAAGGCGGAGGAGAAAGTGGATGCGTCTTGGCAGATGAATTGAGGTCTGGAACCCACCAGTGGGTTTCTTTAATATTGGGATGTGTTAGAAGCCACAGTGTTGTTGTTTTTTTTTTGTTCGGGGGGGGGAGGAGCACCATCTTGGGAGTGTTCAGGTTGGTGAGGGCAGCCACATGTTTTGGTTTTCAGCGTGATCCTGGACAAAATTCCTGCACCAGTTGGTAGGTGGTTTATCCCAGCTTTCATAGTGAGGGAGGTTCTAACCCAGACTTTTGGACAACAGGCTTCCATTTGTTGGCTGGGTTCTACCGCCGTTTTGGCGGTCACACGTGCCACTTGCAACCACTGTGAGTCGACCTGAACCTTTTCATGTTGAGTCAGGGCTCAAATGGTTGAACTCCACACGCTTGAGCTGTTTACATGCTGTCTACATTGCATGTTTTGGCAAACCATAGGACCCCCGAGGGTGGATCCTGCTTGGGCAAGTTATAGCAAGGAGCCGAAGCGAGATAAAGATCCCTCAAGGATTCCTCACTTCAAGTTTACCCACCAACTTGGACTAATATGATATTTGCTTATTTGCTAATATGGACATTCATATGTTCTGCGCGACATGAATGGTTGTGCATCCGAGCCTCTGGTGCAGGGATCTCGGGGACCAGAATGACTCGAGTTGTTTTTCTCAGTTTCCAGACCCTTCAGCTTTTGTTTCAAACTCAGATCCTTGCAACGCAGACTTGATCCTCAGCACTCCGATTCGATTCGCCAGATCTCCTTGTCTTGAGCCTTTGAGCCTCGCTGACTCGCTGCAGGTCTCGCAGAAGCGGGGCTCCAAGCGTCTGTCGGTGCACGACCTACGAAGTCCCAAGGACCACGAGCCGGAGTTCCGATCAGAGGAGGACCGAGTCTGTCTGATGAATTCGCGTCTCTCTTTCTTTATTTGTTTCTTTCTTTCTTTCTTTCTTTTTTTTCCTTTTTTTTCAGTTACACACAACTTGGAGTGGTAAAGCGGCAGCAACAAGAAGGCAAGCAGAGTTTGGAGGCTTGGAGTCCAAATGAGGTCCATGTGTCCATGTGATTCTGTCACGCTTTTTAGTGGTTTGTTAAGAACAAAACAAATGCCTTTGTAGGCCTCCCAGAACAACATTGGGCTTGGTAAATAAGGGGAACCCACGATGTTTTCCATGTCGCTTCAAGAAGCAAACACTATATTGACTTATCCATTCAACCACCCCACCCCCCCCCCGCCCCCGAGCGTATTGGTTTGTCGGGGAATGGTTCCACGCCCTTTACTATCCCCTGTGTCGTTTGGGTATCTCACTGATGGGGGATGGTAGTAAATTGACAAGATATATTGGTATTCCACGGTTGGGACGAGAAGGGGACAACCCTAGCTTCCCGTGCCCCTAGTTCCCGTGTTCTGTTTGCGGATACTTATCAACAACAAGACATGCCTAGGGTGTGCTCGTTGGCCAGAGCAATTGTAGAAGAAAAATAGGTAAGGTGCCTCTTAGTGGGGTGACGCTTAACAGGGAAACACAGGGAGCCATGGCGGTTTTAAGGGAAGCCAAAAGCAAATGTGTGACCAAAGTCCGCTTCCCCGATTAAATTTAATGTATTGCTGTCCCTTGATGAGCAAGGCTGAGATTTAAGCCAATTTGGTTGTGTGACACCCCCCCCCTTTCCGAAGAGTGCTGAAATCTGGGCCAGCCAGTGCCAGTGTGCCTAAAATATTCTTGCATGCCTCCCCAGTTCAAAGTCACAACCTAAGCTGGACACAGGCATGCGGAGAGTCGTTGTTTTGTTTCTGTTCGGGGGGAGCTCCTTTAACCAGCATTTTGCAGGTCCCCTACTTTTGTGAAGAAGTACGTTTGCCAAGCAAGAGCCCTGACAACCCTGATGCTTTCAATCTCAGGGGCTGCAGGCGCTTTGCTGGAGGTTCAAAGACCACAGAGTTGGCCGTGTTGGTCAACGAGTGTCAAACGGGTGTGTCTTTCTTTTGGGGGACCCCCAAAACGTTGGTTTTCCTTCTGGTGTCCCTTAAACAACGACAAAAAAGGCTACCCTCAAAAAACGACACACCCAAATGGCTCCACGGCAACATAAGAGGTCAGCAAAGCCCTTTGGTCTCAGGAGCTGGATAAAACCCATCGGGCCAAACCCATTTTGTCTCGGTCAAGTGTTCTAGTTCCATACATGAGTATGGGTCAAAATTAACCCCGCAGGGGACCGCCACATGTTTAGAGGTTCCTTGCCTGGCGCAGCCGAAACAAACCAAACGGTCCAGCATGGGCCCAGAAGCTTCACCAAATCCTGTCCACCGTACCTCACTGTAGTTGAAGCCCGTTCATCCACTACGCCCATGGGCTTCAACATGTGGGTTTGTCCTTTTTTGGTGTGTTGAGTTGCTTCAAAAGGCAGAAGGTGGGACCTCCCCGAATCATACCCCCGAATCATACCCCCGAATCATACCCCGAATCATACCCCCGAATCATACCCCTTAAAACGTATGCTGCAAGATGCTACTGTTCTTCTACCGTTTTGTGTTGTTCACTGTCTCCACAACAACCACCACCAGCGCTACTCAATACTACCACTACCACTGCCACTGCCGCTACTACTACTACTACTACTACTACTACTACTACTACTCCTACTACTCCAATTACTACTACTACTGCTACTACCACTACCACTACTACTACTACTACTACTGCTACTACCGCGACTACGAGTATTACTATCACTACTACCGCTGCTACTACTACTATACTGCTTCTGCTTCTGCTTCTGCTACCCTTACTACTAACTACTACGACTACAACCTTTACTACTACTTCTACTACTACGACTACTACCTTTATTACTACTACTACTACTACGACTACAACCTTGACTACTACTACTACTACTACTACTATGACTACTACTACTACTACTACTACTACTAGTACTACTTCTACTACTACTATTCCTGCTGCTGCTGCTGCTAATACTCACTACTACCACATACATCATTCTGAGTCTGTAATCAGTGCCGTTTTGCACCTAGCCGAATCATACCCGCGAATCATACCCGAATCATACCCGGACAATGAGCTTCCCCTGCCAAGGCTAGTGCTAAGTCTTTTTCGCAGCGTCCGCACCACTACAGCCGCTGATGCTTATGCTACAGCTGCTACCACTACTTCTGCAACTGCTACTAGTACTACTACTACCACTACTACTGCTACTACTACTACTACTACTACTACCACAGCTACTACGAGTTTGTAATCAGTGCCGTTTTGCACCTAGCCGAATCATACCCGCGAATCATACGCGAATCATACCCGAATCATACCCGCGCAATGAACGTGCCTTGCCAAGGCCAGCGCCAAGTCTTTTCAAAGCTTCCGCGCCAGTTACTACTACTACCACTACTACTACTACCACTACTACTACTACTACCACGACTACTAGTACTACTACTACTACTACTGCTACTACTACTACTGGGACTACTGCTGCTACTATTTACTACTACTCCTACTACTGCTACTACTACTACTACTACTACTACAACAACAACTACTACTACTACTAGTATTGTTACTACTACTGCTACTATTGTTACTACTACAATATTACTACTAGTACTACTACTTCGGCGACTACTGCTACTACTACTACTGCTGCTGCTGCTGCTTCCGCGAATCATACCCCCGAATCATACCCCGAATCATACCCGCGAATCATACCTGCGAATCATACCCCGTACTCAAACCTTCCTTCCCGGCCACCCTAACAAAATACAAACCCATGTGGCTGTGGCTCAAAAAACCGGTACCAGAATGGAACCTTTGCAAGTGGAAACATGGACCAAAACCCGCGTACCCCCTCCTGTCTAATTTTGAGCCACAGTTATGTGACTTGTTGCAAACAGGCTGGGAATCTCAATAGGGTGCCCTCTGGTGGACCTCATCTCTGAGATCCCAACTATTGAGATGCATGGCCACAAATCGACTCGACCCGTCCCGGCTTCTTCTTTTTTTCCGCCCCTACCCACAAAAGGGGTACTCTCAAAACAGAAACACACATATACACACAGACACTCATACACAGACACACATACACACGCACACACCCATACACATACGCATATATATATATACACACATACACATACGCATATGCACCCACACCCGTTCCTTCGTCAGGAGCTTGGAGCCATCACCTCGCGCGTGCGCTGCTTCGCACGGGCCCTGCCCTCGGACAAGGTGGCCATCGTGGCCTCGTTGATGTCCCGCGGCCACGTGGTGGCCATGACGGGCGACGGGGTGCGCCTCGGCATTCGACGCGATTGGCTGGGGAAGGGTGGCTGTGGGTCAAAAATGGAACTTTGGAGTTCTTTGCCAGCCATTGGGGGGTCTTGGAACTTGTCGTTTCAGCTTGGCAAGCAGAATGTGGGCATGGGAACCCCCATTCAGAAGACCAAAAAGCTAAGGAACCGGATGGCTGGGAGCCACCAAGTTGTCTGAAACCAAAGGGGGCCGAGATCCGCACCTGGCTGTGGGTCAAAATTAAACCACCAGGAATTGGACCGCAGGTCTTAGTCCTTGGTTCCGCTTACCAGGGCAAGCCATTTTGGGGTTACCCCATTTTTTGATCCACAGCCATTGTCGGATCTCGGCTTGGTGGCTCCCAGCCATCCGGTTCCTTAGCTTTTTAGCCTTTTGGTGTTTAGTGGGGGTTTCAATGTTTAACCCACCAAAAGTGAAGCTTTTAACAGGGGATCTGAGGGCAGCCCAGAAAAGGACAATTGCAGCTTTGCAGTTTGGACTCCGTCACTGGAAGCTGTCGGTACTTTGAGCAAGTGTGTTTGTGTTTTTTGTGAAATGTATGAAATGAGAAGAATGTGTGGATGCAATCCAACACACTTTCAGGGTCCTGATTACAGGGGTCTCCCAAGAGTCTAAGAAACCCTTAATTAAAAACACTGAATATCACTCTCGTCAGACCGTTTGTCCCGTTCGAGAAGGCTGTGGCCCACAGTATTGCTTCTCTTTAGTGGGGGTTTTCACGTCCTTGGCTGTACTGTTTGTTCATTCCCGGTCACCTTCTTGCTATAATGTTTATTAGACTAGTATGTTCTTGGTTATCGCTATGAATCACTGTCATCCAAGTGAGCTCCGCAAATCTACGTTCTTACCCCTTGTATGCCTGATATATATATATATATATTGATGTCAATCCCCCCTTCACAGAAACTGGCAAACAATCAAATGTTAAAGCATTTTGTTGTGTTGCTGTCCTTGGCATTCCCGTCTTGGATTTTATGTGCTTGGCTTGTGATGCCCTTTTTTGGAGCACCACACAAGCAGGAATTCCAGGTTGCAGAAAAGAGCGAGGGATGACAGAATGGGAATCAAACTTTTGATTGCCATTATATGGTGTTATGTTTTTGTTTGATCCCCTTCATGGCAAACAAGGTCTACTTCTGTAGCAGGGCTGCTTTGTCCTCAGGTCCTTTGGTTGCAAGCAGGTTTGGTTGCACTCCTTGAACCAAACCACGGCTTCCTTTGGGGGAGCCCAAAGTGTCGGTTTAAACAAAAAAAGGCCGTGGGGCGTCTTTCTAAAACGGGGGGAGTCGATCCACGGCTATCATCTCACGCCAGCTTGCAAGCAAAGTTTTGTTCTTGCTGGTGCTCAGTAGGCAATGACCAGGACCGGGTTTGGGGAATGGACCGGCTATAGGTCATTCCCTCATTTCCTGCTGAGCAGCAGCAAGTTGAGGCGTATGGCTCTTTCTCGACATAGGGACACCAACAAAAACTGGCTGTGGGCTTCTTGTTGGCTTTATTTGAAATATCAGCCAACCCCAGTTCTCCTTCCCCGCGTCTCTCGCAGCGTCGTTCCAATCGCCGCTTTGGGCGAGGAACGACGCGCCGGCCCTGAAGAACGCGGACGTGGGGGTGGCCATGGGCATCACAGGGACCGCGGTGACGCAGAACGCCAGCGCCCTGGCCAAGTCACCAGACCGGCCGGTGTCCTAGGTGGCTCTAGCCGTGAGATCACGGCCCTTTTTGTTGCAAGCCTTGATCGCCATGCTGGTAGTAAAAAAAAGAAAAAGCTGTTCTTGGGTGCTGCTCGATTCGCGGGTGGTATGAGTTCCATGGAATGCCTTTCAAACTACTTCAGAGGTGGCTCCCCCTGAAGCTACTTTGCAGGTCAGCCAACATCTTACATCTCTGCCCTCAACCTGAACGACGCAAAACATATTTAGATCGGACAATTTGACCGAGTAACTAGTATGGGTGTGCCTCCATGTTTGAGGGAATTCCTTACTAAGACATGCTCTTGACTAAGTGGATGAGCAACTAGCAACATCATTGCCAGTCTAGTGTTGGTTTGGGACGTGGGCGGGACAAACAGAGGGACAACCCATTGGTCCAGGTACTTTTTTGGCAAAAGCAGCTCATTTTGTACGTTGCTCATTCATGGGCGTGCTTTGTTTTGCGCGGATACCGCTTGAAGGATGGCTTCCAGGGAAGCCAAAAAGGATACTAAGAGCATCATAGTATACGTGAAGGACTTGTTGCTGGGTTCATGCCAGCCTTATTCCAGGAAGCAATTCCTGGGGTCTCCTGTTTGTTTCGGTTGGCGAATTAGTAAATGTTTTGCCCAGCGTAAAGCTTATTGGACACAGCTGCCAAAGAGCCAAGAGTCATGGCTTATTTGGATCTTGGGGAAACCAACAGGAGAAAACACAGATGTGGGGAATCCTAATATTTCAAAAATGGGACAAAACCATATTTCCTTTTGTTATGTCAGGCTAACACTGGTCCGAAGGGTGATGTAAGAGGCAAGAGGAGAAGCTTTGGTGCCTCTTCTGTGACACCTGTTTGCTGTCTGGTACTCCCGTCTACTTGCATGTTTCCCAACAGTGGCAGGGAGCCGTTTGGGATGGTGTGTACTTGGCTGCCCTGTGCTGTGAAAGATATCATATATTTTTGTTTATCTTCGAAAGAACAAGACAACCACTTCCCTTATCCACTTGCTTGCCAAAACGGGTGCGTCTCTTTTTGAGGGCGCCACGTGTTTGCTGATTTTAAATGTAAAAAGGGCCACCATTTGGGATGTCCCGGGTCGCCCTTGAACGAGTGGCCAGCTCACGATCGCTTGTGCCCAGGTGACCTGGTGCTTATGGACGACAACTTCTCCACCATCGCCGCTCGAGTCGCAAGAAACCCGCCGGAAGGAACGGCTGACCTGGAAGGAACCGCTTGAGGAACCCTTTAAAGGAACTATAAAGAGCCTGCACCGCCTCTCCCCCCCGGCAACGAAAAAAGAGAAGAAGCTTGCATTGGTGTTGGGATTGGTTTTGGCGAAACCACCAAAACTCACTTCACCACACGCCGGAGCAACCCCACCCAAAGTCAACCCAAAACCCACCCAAAAGCTGCCTGGATAGAAGCCCTTTGCCGAGCCGAAATCAAGCCCCAATCAACCCAAGACCCACTTTCTGATTTCAGGCAGCCCAAAACTCGTCGCCCTAAGCCGAGCAACTCTCAACTGCCCAAGGTCCAAGCGAGGCCGGTGATGCTGCGGCCCGAAACCCCCCAAACGATGCGACACCCATCCTGAAGGCCCCGAGGGAAATATGAAAACCCGAAGGCTCCAGCCCGTCCAGATGCCAGCCCTAAGAAAACCAGCGCTAGTAAACCAGCCGTAGAACAAAGAACACCTCTTCCGGGCCACTGTAAATGGCAGCGCCCCAGCTCTGAGGGGCTGAGGGGTCGGGGTCACGGCTTAGTAAAAATCGGTCGGAACAGTGGAATTTCAGAACGGTCTTCATCACCCCTCTGCATGCCAACACGCGTGCAACAATGCATTGAACCAGCAAAGGTGCCTGATTTGGTCAACCTCAAGTGCCTTTGGCTAGGATAGGGCAAACAGGGGACACCGAATTCAAACGGATTTTGAAAGGAAGCCAACGAGAGACACGTCCCTTCGTCTTCGAAAGCACCGGCTTGGAAGATGCTTAAAGGGGTTGGGATCACCTGAGAGATGAAGTTGGGGCGGTTCTTGGGTCAAGTGAGGCAGAGGGATATGTTGGGCTGAGGTGTTGGCAATCGAGGAGGGCCGGCGCATCTTTGGCAATGTGCGACTCAGTTGCAAAGTCACTGGTTGGCTGCAAGAACTTTAGTTACTCTAGTTTGGTCCGGTTGCAGAGCTGCTGGGATGACTAATTCCCTTGGCTGGCAGGTGGGTGGCAGCGCATAAGTTCCGTTTTGAGAGCCCACAAAACAGCACCGGTTACCGGGCTGGTCATCCAAGTGATGCAGTAAGTTGGTTATTGTCGGCGCATCAGATCCAATAACGCGTTCCATGAGCCTAGGTCACAAATGGCTCTGCGTGTCATTCGGGTATGCTCCAGGGCTCCTTTCCACTTGCCCATATATCGACTACAGGGGCAAGGTGTGTGCGTGTGTCTTTGGCTCAGGAAACCCTTGAATGGGAGTTGTCCCTTTGAATATCCGTCTTGAACCACTCTAGAGTGTAAACTGCACACAAGCACATGACCACATAAAGCATAACTTGCTATGACAACCTCTTCAGGATACTGACCAGATACGAGGAGATAAGGGTCACATAGCTTTGACTCATTGACCTGGAGGGACCAGAGGTGCCTAGTGTTTACACATACCTTCCTTTCGCTTAAGATCTGCTATTTTCCCCTGGAGATTGCACCCAGAATGCCCATGACTAAGTATATCTTCATAGTATGTCATGGTTTTAGAAGCACGTGGAGCAAATACAAGCAAGCCAACCCGCTGACTATAGCCATATCTCATGGTTTCAGAAGCACGTGCAGCAAATCTATTTGAACAAACCGACCTTCCGACAAGGGCCGTCCTGATTTCTGCCAGGCAGAAGTACGTGGTTGCGAACCTCAGTCTCAAGTTCGGCGAGATGGTGAGTCTCATGATCTCCATCGCCCTGGGAGTCTCGGCAAAGGTTTGTGTTGTGTTTTTACTCAGGATGGTTTCCCCAGCCCCCAAACCGCCCCAGGGATTTCATGAGATACACAGCGATGAGCTACTGTATCAGGAATTGTTTTGGCCCCTGAAGTCAGTGACTTGGGGGTAGTGGACAATTTATCTTAGAACATCAGCGCAGCCAACATTTAGCTGCTACGGCTTGCCAACCCCAAAACGCTGTACAGTTGCGGAAAAAAAAACCGAGAGCTTCCACCCCAAAGCTGTTTGAAGTTGCGAAGCAGAGGGGTTCCCTTGTTCTCCCATGCTGGCATGTGGGCGGCACCCACCATAAGGTCTGAAACCAAAAGTTGTGGGTGACACCTGTCAACCCAGCAAGGAAGCAGCATAATATACATACCCCACTTCTACCATACCTAAAAAATCAAAATGCCCCCGAAATAATGTCTTTTTTTTCCGAAAAAAAAAAAGTATCATTTTTGCATTTCCGGCCAATTTTTGGCCTTTCAGCCATTCTTCAACTGGCAGTTTAAGCATAATTATTACGTTGTTTTTTTTGTCGGCTTGTGTCGCCCAACTTTCCGCAATTCCGGCGAAACGTCCCGCATTTCCGGCGAAACTTCCCACAATTCCGGCGAAACTTTCCGAATAGGAAACTTGAGTCCATTCCGGCGGCTACGCGTATTTCTCCTTGAGCCTTTCCGGCTGTTTTTGCTGATTCTGGCAAGTTTCTGTGACTTCGGCTGAAATTTGATGCATTGCAGATTCCGGCTGAAAATTCAGCCGAAAGAGCTTCTAGGTATAGAGAGCAAAATGCCAACCACCACCTTTTTGCGTCAGCAAGACCCCCACTCCCTCCAAGTAGGGAGGCGGCTGTTCACACCCAGAAGGGACCCCCGCCCCCCGCCCCCCTTCCCGTCGTCACTGGAGCCGCTTTGTTGCCCTCGCTGCTCAGGCATCGTGACACCTCTGCAGCCCACGGTGCAGCTGTTGAACCTCTTCGTGACGCACATCCTGTGCACCATGCGCCTAGGGCAAAAAGCCGGTGGAGGCAAGTAAACCAACCGCAAACCATGGGATTTATCAGCGTTTCCAACTTGTTCTCTACTTGCAATATTTAGGCTTAGGGCATCCACCGTACCTCGGCGCCTGGGGATTCTCAAAGTGATAAACTGGGGACATTCTCCTGAAACTGGGACTTCAAGAGTGACTTTGGTACTTGTGAAATTCTGGGGACTATACAACAAACAAAAATACACCCAAAAGGGAGTTTTCAGAACATCCCCGTTTTGAAGCATCCAAGTAAGTCTATGGTCAAATGTTCCTAAGGGAATCCCGAACGATGCCACTTGCATCCGGGAAGGGAAAGAATGCTCACTCTCTTTTGTTCGGACGATGGACAGGGGATCCTTTCCCATTTAGGGTTTCTCAGCTGGCATCCTCTTTCCAGAAATGATGGGCCAATGTCCTGGCTGGTACTCCTCCCCCCTCGGCCTCCACGTTTCCATAGAAGACAGGTAGGTCCTGGAAGATCAGTTTTCTCAAGGGATCCCTGCGGGTTCCGTGGCAAAGTGAACGGGTCCCGAGAACCCCTCTGCTTCCGACAGGATCTTCATGAACAAGCGGTATGTGTTGTGAGAAAATGCCGGCGGGTGTCAGTGCCACCCTGCACTTGGCAGACGACTTGCAGACCCATGTCTCACCCTGTGGGATTCAATCATATGGCTCTGGATCTTAATAGGGAGCCACGGTTGGTGGACATAAATCCCCACCTAAATGATGTCCACCAAAGGGCCCCCAATTAAAATTCATGCTCACATTGCGATCTACAGCCCAGGATAGAGGCTTGTAATGTCGGACATCCCAGCTTGAGTGGCAAGTCAACAAAAACATGTACGCAACATGACCCCGAAACGCCATGTTGGCCATCAACCTGTCGCTTGCAAATGAGGAGAGCTTCAGCAATACCCATCATCCAGGTAACATGGCCCTCAAAGAACAAATGGGTGGTGGGCATGGGTTTTGGTTCAGGTGCTTCGCCTTTGAGGGTGCAGAGGATTACATCATGAAGATCCCCCCCAGGGAGGTGAAGAACGATCTGGTGCTCACCAGGACTTTGGAAGTCAGGTTGGGGAGACCAAGGAGCTTTGGACTCAGTTTGCCTGAAAATGAACTAGTCCCTCTTTAAGGTCGGAAGGGGAGGGACCTTGACTCACAAAGTGAGTCTGGATGGCTGACCTTTGGTTTCCAGTTTTGGTTGTCAAGGCAACCAAAAGGGCGTGTGTTACTCGTGACTAGGAGCGAACCCGTTGACTGATTATTTTGTTTTTGGTGGTGGATGGTTGTTCAGAATCATTGTTGGTAGTGTTCAATGTCTTGGTTTTGAAACAGCTGGTTTTCTTCACGACCCTTAGGGCGCTTTTCAGCAACCCCACTGGGTTTGAGTTTCTGGGAGAACACATTGCAAGGGAGCCAGGAACCTGTGATTTATGGTGTTAGGAGTCTGTTTGCAGTACGGGAATCAACCGCAGGACAGGAAACCACAGTTTGATTTCTGCGGTCGTGCTGATTCAGGCAGAACGAGCCAAACGGTTTGGTCGCTTCACGTGGGTAAGCAGGGGTCGCTGGGTTTCCCCTTCAACAGTTGCAATTTCCTCTTGGGTTCCATTGACTTACTTGCCCAAAGCCGACCTTTTGACCTTTTAGTTTTCCGGGTTCGGTCTATTTTTAGTCATGACCCCAAAAGGTTAACCTTTTATGTCCAGGTCCGCAAGTGAGTTGAAACGATCGCCACTTTTGGAGGTCCAAAGGGAAGCCAGAGCGCCAGAGCCAAAGCAAAGGGAGTCGGCCCAGCGTTTTGTTCCTTTTGCAGGGGGTCCCTTTGAAACCCAACTGGGTGGCTCGTCTTGGAGTTGGGTACCCCCTTTTTTGGTGGTGCTTTAAGAAAACCAGCCATTTTTGGGGCGGTACCCTAAGGGAGGCCACTCTGCGAGGACTCAGATCCTGTGTCGCTGGCTGCCCTTCGTCCTCTACTTCCCCGCATCTGACCTGCAACCAGCGCGACTATCGACCTGAGTTTACTCCACGTTGGACCTTCACCGTTCGGTGTTTCAGTCATGGTCCAGTGTAGTTGTTGTTTCAATAAAAACACATCCAGGTGTTTGGTATTTTTATTATTATTGTTAATCAAGGTTCCAACCTGGTCTTTGCTTGCCTATTCTAAATCCGGGTCATACCTTGTTAGTCTGTTTGCCAATTGCAAGTCAGGGTTCCGACCATCCATTCACCGCTATAGCGGTCAATCAAGAGAACGGAAAAACCTTTCATGAATTGACATTCTTTGGGAAGATAGGGGCCATGCCAAGGATTCCGAGCCATTGCCCAATCCAGTCGATCCATCCTTCCAGGAACTTCCAGGCACCGCGGAAAACACCGTCTAATGTGTGGTTTAGGGTTTAGGGATACCTTTTTTTCCCTTCATGTAGGGACTACATGGCCGTATAGCCCAGCAAACCACCCTGGGTTCTAGCTTGGGGGTAGTGGAATTCCATCTTAGGACTATGGCAAATGGCAGGCCACTAGAATTTGTTCCCATTGTTGCTTCTAGGTCTTACATGTGTTTGTGTGTGTGTGTCTGTTTTTGAGTTTCCACAGGAAAACCGAATTCATCTTGGGGGTCCCCTCAAAACAGACACACTCGATTGCTTTTCTTCCATTTGCTCAAGAACATTGCTTATTTTCCCCTGTTGGTTGTAAAGGGAATCTATCACCACTGGACATATATATATATATAGTGTTTTTTTTTTCCAGGGGTCTTAATCCAAACGGAGGTTTGGGTTTCCCCCGTTTCTCGGCTTTTCGATTTTTGTTGGGGTCTAGTGGCCATGGCCTGGGCCCAGGGGTCGCATCGGTGGCGTCGGCTGAGGTGGTGGTCTACAGCTCGCTCTGCTTGGGCACCTGGGGCCTTACGGGCTCCATGCGCCTCGGAGGCGTTTGACACATTTTTGGGTTTGGTTTGGACCATTTGGGTGCTAAATAGATATATATATATATAATTATATATATATATATATATATGTTGGGCTGCAAACTTTTGGGGTTTGGTTTGGACCATTTTGGTGGTAGATATGTGAAGTTCGGACTTTCTGTGGCCAATTCACTCAGGTGAGCGACTTCCACCCGTTTGGGACCCGAAGAAACAAGGGCCGAAGCATGTTTGGCAAGCTCGTGTCTGTAATTGGGAGTGCTTGCCACTTTCTGTTTTGGCCAAGCTAACATTCCCAACCAAAGACGAACCATCGAGTTGTCATAGAGTCATAGAGTTTGGACTCCAATTTTGGTGTTACAGGAAGCACCGTTATGCATTGGCTGGCCCGGGGTTTGACGTGCCTGATTTTATCGGGTTGAAAGAAAACAGCAGCAGGTCTTCTCAGCATCACACTGACATCAATTGCTCAGAGTGTGTTCCTCTCTGCTTGGTGGGTTGCCTATGAAACTAATCCACCCCAAACTGGAATTGCTCCTTTTTTCTGCCAGGGGTGGCTGGTGCAAGTGGGAACAAGCTTTCTCACATGAGGAGCAATGCGGTTCTGCTCGGCAGCACGCGGATTGACGACCTGAAGCTGGGGCGCACCCTTTGCGAGCACGCGGGCTGGCAGCGGGAGGCAGGCCCTTGATGTGTCAGGTGAGTCTCATTTTCTGGGAACCGGGGTCTCGATCGTAGCCCATGAAGCTGGGCTGGGGGCTGGATGTCGAATGGACGAATCATGGGAACTGCCTTGATTTTTGATTGGGGGTGTGGCATTGAGAGGGGATCCTTTAGGTTTTGGGTCAACGCACCATAATTATTCGTCGCCGGTGGGCTCGAACAGACCTTACCTGATGCCTCAAATCGTGCCGGATTCCATTGATTTGCTTTGGGTTTCCTTTGCAAAGAGCCAAGGGTACAGAGAGTCAACAAAGACACTCACACAAGAACCTGTTTGAAGCCAGTTCAGAGGAATGATTGTTTTCCCTAGTGTTGGATATAGATGGACATCACCATGACTTGTTGGAAGGCCTGACTGTGTCTTGGCGCCTATTGCTTGGCCGTCTTCCTATGGAACAAATGTGAGCCAGCCTAAGGATGATTGGTTGGGGACGCCATGCATGATGACCACCCGTTTGCTCGAAGGAATGCATGTTGTTTCCCTACAGAACATGACGGGATATGGTGGCGAATCAAAAGGTCCTTTTCACATGCCCCATTGAAACGACTAACAAGATGACATGTCCCGCTATATGGAGAAAGTTACCTTTGGGGGCAGAACGGAATATTGATCGACCCCCATATGGTGAAAAGTGCAAACCCCTCAAAGAGCATCGCGGAGAGTTGGAGTGGAGATGTCTAACGGACTGGTAGGGGCGGGCCTCCTTCGATGGTTTGCTGCGTGGGGCTGAAGATAAGAGTGTGTTGTTTTTTGCTCGCTAGTGCCATGAAAAGAAACCAATGGGAATCCGAAGCATTTCCACAAAAGGAGTATCCGTATCCGACGTTTTTTTCTGCGACAAAACCCAGGCATCGGGTCCTGGGAAGTCAGTTTTGCTTTGATTACATTAGACAATTTGTGTGGCCTAAAGCTGATTCCGGCATCCTCTTAATCTGCTCCCGAAGGGGCAAGAGGGGAACCCACCCTGGGACGGATCCACTGCAGTGTTGCAATGACAATATTTGTTGGGTCAACATAAAGTGCACAGAGCCCCTGTCCAAGAGAAAAAGTAGTCTTTCAAGGGGGCCTGTGCACCAATCCATGTTTGTTGGTGGGAGGCTGTACTCGATTAGATTAGAGGATATCCACCTTCAAAGGCTACCACTTCTCCCTTTGAGGTTTGGTGCAAACAGACCGCCATGAAAGTTGCTCGTCTGCCAGGATGGGCACTTTGAGCGCGACCCCCGGCCCTTCCACTGCGTGTGCCACACCAGCCTGGACGGGAACCCCTGGTCCCCCTCTGTCTCTTGGCACAAAGCTGGCTTTTTTCGGGGGTTCACTGCCTTGCAGTCTCAGACTCAGGACACCTTTGGATGGCTGTGAAGGGAAACCGACTGCTCACTGAGCAAATTTGGTTGCGATCGCCATGGCTTGTTCACGATCAGGGACAGCCGTGGACTTAGGGAATTGCTAGCCCTTAGCCACGTCCATGGGCCTGGGAGTTTTGACAAATTTTCCCATGTTTCTCCCTGTTTCAGTTGCTTGTTCGGCTGAAAGCCCCCATGCGCCCGTTTTCAGAGGTCTAAACTCAAGACAATCCCAATTCGGGGAGACATACGTCAGACGGTTGCACAGGGCGGGACATGGAGGTGTGTAGCTCGCGCAATTTTACAAACATCAATCTAGTATATCAGGTGTATATCCAATCCATTCGGCCTGAGGTTTCCTGGTTTCCTTCTGGCGGAATGTAAAAAATGGGTGATGCGGGAAACTCTGATCATGTTTTTGTACAAGTTTCACCGTGTTACGTCGGGCAAGATTCGGGAGCCCTTCTAGTGTCCAAAGGAAAACCAGGGAATCGTCGCCATTTTTCGGGGGCCAAATTCTGTCGTTGGTCACCTATTTGGAGTTGGACGATTTTGTTGGCGATTGCAAGGAAGCCAAGGAGCTGGGGGCGGTATCCAGATCTGCCTTTTAAGAGGGCGCTGAGCATGTACCAGGGGTGCGGTGAGACATGCATGATTTGTCCTTGGGCGGTTGTGTTGGGAATCTGAGAAACTGATGCCCAATTTGAAGGTTGAATGTCCTAGTACCAAAATGAATTGTTGTTTTTTGTCCCCCCCCCGAAAGGAGGTGTGAAGCTCCCCCCATTGTGAGGTGCCACTGGAGCAGTGGGGTGGATCAGCGCAAAAGGACGGTTCGGGTGCTGTTGAGTTTTGCTTGCTTTGTGGCTTTTGTTCCATGGTCGTTCAACACCGTCAAGACCCTGGGTAGACAGCCACTAAATGTCACACGGACACCAGGGGGGATTACCTAAGTTGCATGGTTGTTGTTGGGAAACATTTTACATTTTTGCTTATTGTGGTTTAGTGGAAAATCCAACCACTTAATTGCTAAATTTTGAATTGTTTCCTCCCCGTCCAACGTCAGCCAAGTAAGTGTGCATGCCCTTTGCGGGAGCTTCCTACTTGGACGCCTCTCCTGAACTGTTTTCAGCATCTAGTCCGCAGGACCCAAGGAACGTCCAGTCGTCCGGCTCGGCATGATCTTCCCTTTCTTTGCTGGGTTCGTCTCCGAAGGCGAATCCGAACAGGTGGTTCCATGTTGATGCGCCTAACCCACACCGGACAAGCGCGACCCAGCTCGTCAAATCCTCGGCCTTTTTCAACGGAGGGAGTTTGTAAGAGAACCACCGTGGCAGGAGAGATCTGGCCATGGCACATTACTATGGGTTGTCTAAAAATTAGGAACCCCCCGACGCCCCCGCAGTGGGGGGTTGGTTACTTCACTGTTCTTGGCAAGTTGTTTTTTTTTTTTTTTTTTTTTTTCTTCTTCTGTTTTTGTTGGTTCTGTTCATTTTTAGAAGGGCTGCAACAGAAGGTTTTTTTTGGCACCATACCAAGGGTGGTGAAGAACATATCAAGTGAGACATGGTGATCTCATTTGCGAGCTGGTGCCCACTGTGATAGTCTCAGGATGTCGCGCACTTCCCAACTTGGGAAAAACTCGAAAGCCACCCAACAGCCACACCGACCCTAAACCCTAAACCCTAAACCCTAACTGTGCCGCCTTTTCCTCGCTGTTCTTGGGATGTGTTATTTACCTGTTTGGTACTTGGGTGGATGTCTTCGTTTTTGGGTGGCTGCATGCCAACACAGTGTCGATATACCATGGGTTGGGAAGCTAACCGTTGCTAATAAACAGGCCCTAAATTCAGGCACCCTCTTTGCAACAATGGAAGTGAGTTCTGGGGGCATTCCATTTGGAAGACCCCTCATGTCAGCTTGAGAAACGGTTGGCCAGGATTACCCTTGGCTCTTGGAAAGTACTGCGCTTCCAACTTTCTTTCGGCTCCGAACAAGCCGTGTGGTTTCTTAATCTTTCAGCTGTTTTTAGTTGGTTTGTGTGTGGGTTTCCATTTCACCCACGAGTTATTCACTTTGAGCCCAGCTAAGCGAATGGCAAAGACCCAACTTGGATGGCAATCCTCAGAAACCAAAACCATTCAGCCCCCCCCCCCCACGCCTAGCGAAGGAGTCTGTGAGGCCTTGTAGCCGTCCGGACTTGGCGCAGCACTGGTGCTGGGAGGAGCGACTGCCGGATGTTTTTTTATTGTTTTTGTTTTGTTGTTGTTTTTTTCCCGTTGGCTTGTAGGGGACTGTGCAATTGCTTAGTTTTGTGTATGTGCACGTTCAACAATATTCACTATATGTATGTATGTATGCATTTGCATACATGCATGCACATCTACATATGTACTACGTGTGTACACAATCCAGATCTTGTTGGCATGCATATCGTATTTGTTTGGGGGGTGGCCACATGGTTTGGGTATGTCCAAGAGGCTGTGGTTGAGTCGACCTCGATGGACGCTTGGCTGCCCAAGCCTCAGGCCTTTCTTGTCCTCGATGGATCCACATTGCAATAGGTTTCAAAATCAAAGCTAAAGCTTTCTACGCTATCAGGTGTTTCATGGTTTGAATGCAACAAACGCAGCACACACTCACACACACTCACACACACGCAAGCAAGCAAGCAAGGAAGCAAGGAAGCAAACCAAGAAACTAGCATGCCAACAAACCAAAGCCCATTTGTTTCCTCATTCAGGGGAGTGACCATCATTTGTCGGGTCATTTAGTTTTGCTTCGAAGTTGAAGTGGGGCACATGCACCCGGCAAACAAGCAGTTGTCGTAGTTCCCAAGGAATGCATATTTTATATGATTCCTATATTTGTTTGTTAGCGTGCACTGGTTCTGTTGCAACTTGACGCACGCACACAGACACAGGCACAGACGCTGAGCAGACGCAGACACAGACACAGGCACATATACAAACAGACACACGATCGCAATCACAATCACAATCACACAATCCCATCCACTCATTGTCCACCATTTCCATCGACACCGCACTATACTTGAGGCAGACTTCCCAGCCGTGGCACGCGGCTTAAACCGCGCTGGCCTTACACTAGAATGGCGTTTCTATGGAGGGGGTCAGTCAAAAGGTGACGTTTCATGATTGTCAACCACCAAAAAGGGATTTCTTTATTTCAACTGCGCCATTTGCAAACATCACCGAAAGGACCATTTCTGTTTTCAAATGGAAAGTCGATTGGCCGGGGAGGGGGGGAGAATGTGTGTAAGGTTAGCTGGCTTTGAGGGATGGCCTTTTTTTTGGCGAACCGAAGACCTCCATTTGCTGAAATGAATATATGTTGTTATATTATTTTCCCGTGTTGGTATTAAAATAAATTCACCACTACTGGAAATATTTGTTTTATTTTTTCCTGGGGGCTTAACCAAATGGAAGAAAAGCTTTTGTCAGGGAACCCATTCAAGGGCGGCTTGAAATGCCGAAAGGAAGCCAGAAGCTTTTACAACCAAAAAACACGAAGCAGTCAACTAGTATGGCCGTTGAAGAGGTCATAGTCTTCTTTGAAGGTGCTGGAACCAAAATCTCGGGCTGAAAGCCAATTCTTAATCCTTCCCTTGAACGAAACATGTGGCAGCAGTTAAGAACTTGAAAGATGCTGTCAAAAGGCAATCCTAGTTTGACATAGATTTGTCTCAAAATAGGGTACCTCCCCCCCAAAAAAACAAACAGGTGGTGTATACAAACCCATCCCGAAAAGAGTACACTCAAGAACGACAATGGTGAATTGCGTTTGGATTTGTCTGAGAATGATTGAACATGGGGTACTCCCCCCAACATGGGTGGTTTGAACCAATCCCAAAACAAACGCCGAGCCTCAAAAAATGACAAGCCATGGCCATTCCGCTGGTTCCCCGCAGGACGACGTGCCGCGAGCGACCAGACCAGTTCTGGGCGAAAGCTGTACAGAGCACGGTATCAAGGTGGGTCAGACCATGGCCTTGGTCACCATCATGCTCCTCAGCTGAGCTAGTCATCTTGCTGGTGCAAAAAATGCAGGGAATGAGAATTGAATGACCCCGAGAAAAGTCATCCCCGTTGTCGTGTCCTAGGCAATCCCCTTGCGGTTCATTCCAACACACAGCGTCATTCCCTACTGAGCACCAGCAAGTCATTTGGGTGTGTGTCAAAATCGGGATTGGAACCCCCAAAACAGACTTCGGGATTGTTGTTTGTGGGTTCCTTTAAAAAGATACATTAAAAGGATACCCTTGAAAGAATCACAAGCCTATTTGGAGCCGATTCGGTGACTGGCTTGCTAGAGTGACAGTGAAACGTGAAACCGTAGCTAGTGGTTATTTTGCCAACAACTAGGGGTGTATACCAGGGATTCATACAGGGCTTTATACAAGAGGTTGCTACATGAGCAACTGCTAGATGGATGGTAGCCTGTTAGTTTTGGGGAGGACATGACGTCCTCTTACCGTAGAGAAGCAACTCAGGAATTTTGTCCAGGTATCAGCAAACATTTCCATTCTTCACAATGTGATGGATGTGGCCCAGATCGCCACGCAGTGGGGCCTTTTTTGGGAGAGGCAAAGCACCTACCAGTAAGAAGACTGGCCTTTGCAGGTCTGGATAGGGGTTGATATTCTCTGAACGAATCCTAGCATTTGGCCGGATAGCGTGATGCACCCATTTGGGCGTCAGACAGAGAGTTCGGCCCCATGATGAAGGTCCTTTACTCGTGAATTACTTTACGTTCAATTCTGTGACTTAGGGTATTCTTTGCCGTCCCAAGCTGGCCAGAGTGTTTTGATGTTCACTAGCACAGATGGGAGAGGACAAGGGATAGTGTTGCCCAAGTAAAAATGTGCATGTACAACTACGAACACAAATATATACATATACATATGTGATTATACATCATATATACACATGATGAATAATTCTGCATGTTGCGTACATCACTCAAATTGACATCTATAACTATATAACATGTACGCAGACAGACAGCCGGCAACTCGCACGTTGCCAACCAGATGCAGACCGGAATCCGATTGTTTTCAGAGCCAGGCAGTCCCTTCTCGTTGTTTTTCTGGTTTGGGATTTCCGCGTAGACGCCGGCTCATGGACGGCGAGATCTCTAAGGAATCTCAGGGCAGTGGTGGCCTTGATGCGTTGTAGGTTGGGCTATTTTTTGCAAGCCAACAAAAACGGGTGCCCTTGTTTTCCTCGAGAAACATGGAGGTCTTTTGGTGACTGCACTGGCTTGGCGAGTTTCCCGGAGACTTGTTTGGGACTTGTGTCTCAGGTCCTGGTATTTTTAACCCAGAATCTGTTGAGGCATGTGTGTTTGTGTTGTACCTTGCAGCAGGTTCAGAACGGAATCGTGGCTCTTACGCATAAAGAGCTGCTCCAACCACTTGCTTGAGCATGTCTAAACCACAACCCTTTGGGCTTCATGTTTGTTTCCCTTCAACAAGCTCCATAATTGTATAGTCTCAATGCTATTCGCATTGCTCCGGACTTGCGTTTTTGCTTATTACGAGCTCTTGAACTTCTGAATGCATGCCCTGCACTGCGTGGACCCGAGTACCTCTAGTTCACGTATCGGGGCAAACCGAAATTCCAAAAAGGCTTCGCACTGTGAGGCCCCATGCTGAATGTTCCTTCCAGCGGACCCCTTTCCGGCAATGATCATAGCGCATGCGCCCAGAGGTTACGAGGGCAGTTGTGGCTCTGGTTTTGGCTCAAACAGGGTTCCATTGTTTGATTTCCCAAGGTATACTTGACATATTTCAGTTGAGTGGGGAAGCTTTAAGGTTTTGTTGAGTGAGTTCGTCATTTTCTTGGGCAAGGCTTAATAATAGCATCCCAAGAATCCTCAAAAGCCTCGAACTTCAAGCGCCTGCAAGGAAAGCCGCTGGGCCAAGTGCACGTGGCAGTTTGCTCAGAACACGGAAGATCAGGTTCCATGGCTAAGGCTTGCTGTAAGGAATCCGCAAGAGCCCGGGGCTGCTTTGTACTTGTGGCGCCCGCCCAAGTGGAGTTGTTGTGCCGGGGATGTCTGACAATCATCTCCAAATAATTTGATTAATTAGATCGGGTCATGATTTTGACGTTGTTGTTTTCTTCTTTTTCTTTGTTTGTTTCCGGGAGATCAAAGTCAGCTGGTGACTCTGTGGTATGATCAGGAGGCCTGGCCTTTTTTGCGGCCGCAGGTTGGGGGAGGTGCTGAGCTTGATGAGCTTCCGCACTGATGGCTTCTTTCTGTTCTCCATCTTCAAGAATCTCAAGCCGGAGAAGGGGAACATACCAGGGCTGAGGCGTTTTGTTGTTTGTCAATTATTTCTTCCGGGGAAACAGAAGCAACGGTCTTCTATAGGTTTGGGGAGTGCTCAGTCATACTTGGCTAGGGTGAAGCAAAACTTTCAATCGTTCACATGTTCACTCGTGGCCTTTGTTCAGAGGTGGAGGCGTGAAGCCAAATCAGCAAGCTTCCAGCCCATCCCCGACCCTGAGGAAAAATAGAAGGTAGGTGCCCAGGCATGAATACCCTAACAAAAAATGGGGACGCTCCCCAAAAGGTGTTTACTTTGTTACAAGGCAGCTAATGTATGGAGGGGAAGTATACCCTGCAATGTTCAATCAATAGGGGCTGATAATTCTGAGCCTCAAGTTTGAGCCACTCAGGCAAGCGCAACCCCTGCACTCTATTTGAAGCTAGCCTTGGTTGCTCATTGGTACGAACTGTAGTGCTTGTTTCTTGTGCCCTAGTAATTTGGCGCCTATCAAATGTCTTTTCGAGGTCTGATGGACGTCTTCACCCACTCAATGCGTTTGTGGTCTGAAGCTTTGTCAAGGCTAAATAAAGCGACACGAGGCCAAAGGCATCTAAGCCCCTCAAAAATCAGGTCAATCCTTCTTAAGACCAAAACAACAAACTTCGATGGGTTTGATCCGAAGGGCAAGGGAACCCCCAGCTTTCCAACCCCTGGTACGTGCTTAAGCCAAGCAGCGATCATGGCAGTCCTCACTCAGCATGATTGCAGTAGGCAAGCACAAATGAAGCGCCAGATTAAGAGAAGATACGTTTTGTTTCCATTGAAAAACCGGGTTCCATGTTGGGTACCTATTTTTGGACGCATAGCCATATACAGAACCAACAGGCCAAGTGAACCAATGCCAAAAGTGAATCCATGCCATGAGTTCGACGGTGGCTTGGCCCATGACTTCCCTCTCAGTGAGACCGTTGTCCTGAGAAACACATAGTTTCACCCCAAGCACAATTGGACGGTGCGCGCGGGGACCCTGGTCTTTGGCTTGTTGCAAAAAGCGAGTTGTCAGTGGGATGCAATGCAAGTAAAGGTCTACGGATTATTTGTGAAGGACTCCACCAAAGAGCACCTTGAGGATGATCCCAAGGAACCCAGATGACAGTGATCCTCAGTCACCTGATCACCTACAAAGGAAACCAAGAAGGGATGGAGAAGCTTTGCGGTTGGTCAGCGCTAGCGCCCAAACTCCGATTGGCCATTTAGAGTATGTTCTACTGCCTGGTTTGAAGGGGGGTTATAGTAAGGGCATGTCAGGGCTACATCATGTCAAACCTTAACCATCTCGGTACCGAAGTCGCAGGGGTTTTGGGCGACTCGGCTGAAATGCCAAACTTACGAAGTATTCGGGTTCCGTAGAGCAGCTTGGAGCAACCTGCAAAACACAAACTTGCTTAAGTTAGGGGTAGCCCCATTTCGGGCGGTGTTCCTTTGAGTCTCCTAAACCGAACTGAAAAAGGGTACCCTAAAACAAAAAAACGACCCTGTCTAATAGTAGGGCCTAGTAGGGCCGAAATAGCTTGAATTTAGTTCAAGGGCAGATCCTTCAACTTAAAAGGTGTCTCTTCGATTCGGATCTCGTGCGCTGAGCTTGCAAAGGATTCTCCAAATATATCCATTGTAAGTGGACATCTCTGGAAGCTGCTGAAAAGAAGATCATGTGCGTAATGAGTTTACCCCTGAGATCAACCAAGAAACCGAACCCCGGGACAAAGCATGTGCCAAGTGTTTCCTTTAGCTTCCAAGCTTCCTGGTTTCAGACTAACCCCCCCCCCCCCCCGACTTTGCTAACTTACGTTTTTTTGACAGGGGAGCCCCGAACAGGGGCCCAGGATTCGCCAAACATCTTGGTACAACAAGCTCCAGTGCTGGGCCCTGTCTTTCGCGGGCCAAAAAAAGGAGGGAGATGTTTGGGTGTGTCTTGGTTTTTCAAGGGTCCCCCTTTTTCTGTGGGTTGAAAGTTCAAAGGGAAACCAAAAGGAAAAACATCATTTTGGGGTCCCCCAAAAAAGACGTTTTTTTGGTTGGCCAATTTTTGATTGAGGAATCCACTCTACATCTTGTCCCTCGCGATGAACGTTTCTGTCATGCTGGTCTTCGTCTACAACCCGCAAGTCGCCTCGATTTTGGATCTGGTCCCCCTGCAAAGAAGCCAGCTCCTCGCAGTAGTGTCACACAGGCAGCCACATGGGCCAACTAATTTGCCGCCTTGGCCGGGCTTCACCCAGTTCAGTATCAGACGCTGGTCTTTTGGCTGAGAAGGTACGTTGGCTCTTGCGGAGTTGTACTTCGGGTGCACCCCAAAGACGGCCTCCAAGGATGCTGCTCATTTCGACAGCCTACTAGGCATGGCAAGTCGGGCCAATTCGGGCCTTGGGGCCTTAGGTCCTTGGTGGGTGTTTTCTTGTACCACGAACCACTGGAGCACAGGTGTTCTCAAAAGCGGGGGTCCTCAACCAGGCCCCAAACACTCCCTTAGGGGATGCTGGTGTTCTATTCCTGTATACGTACACAAGTTTATTGGTAGAGACCTCCACCCCCCTTCCCCCTTTAGCCCGCTGGGCGAGGTTATGTCCCACATTTTTGGACACAGGTCGGCTTGTAGCCAGTTTTGGAATCTGACAAACGCGGTTTCGGGGCTAGAATCAGCTGACAGATCCTTAGTTTGGGATCAGCCATGTCAAGAGAAATGTCAAGAGCTCCAGACTTAGAAGCATAGGAATGTTAGTTTTATCTAAAGGGCCCAATTAATAGGTTGATCAAGTTTTGGGGGGTTGATGATTATTCTGTAAGAATAATGTGTACGAAGTTGTAATTCACGGCCCCAGCGACAACGAGCTGGTTGTTCGTTGTTGTTTGTTGTCCTGAGATGCCTCATTTCAAGTCGATTGATCAAAAGATGATACGCCGGCTCAGACAGACATATGCCTGAACAGATAGCACTCGGAAGCGGGTTGCCTATACCCTTCTGTGATCCCCGTGTTAAAGCAAGACACGGCCTTTAGGCGCTTTGCTTCTGGTCCATGCACATTTATATCACTACGTAGATAATACATATATATATATATGTACATACATACGAATTATGTATATACATCACAAGCAAATATATATATATATATATACATATGACAGCTAGCAGTGTACGCAACTTAGCCTTTTTAGACCATGCCACCTGCCGTCTCGGAAAGGGCCCATGTTGAAAAGTCCAAAATTCATCCATAGCCCCGTAGCAAAGTGGTTAAATGCAGGCTCCCGCCGCCTTTTTGTAAGGCACCCGGACAAGAGTCGGTGCACTTCCCCCTTGTCACGGCAGGTTTACCCGTTTCCTCACGTTTCCCTTTATCATCTGCAAAGAACATCCTTTTGGAGACTACGCGGACTCTCCACCCTTTCACATCGGGCCCCTTTGGCTAAAGGGTCCGGGAGACTCCAGGTACCCTCTCAAACTGTTCTTTAATGGGGCTCTCGCTTGAACTCCAGCCAGTTTCCAGGGAAACCACAAATCATTTACAACTTTTGCAGGGGAAATCCAGTGACCCCCACCAGAAAATTGAAGGGGAAATCCAATGGCCCCTGATTTGTTAGTCCAGAAAATTGCAAAAGTTTTGAAGGGGAAATCCAGTGACCGCTAATTTTTCCGTGGCAAGCACCTTCAGTTTGGACCCTTTTTGTCTCTATTGCTATTGGGTTTGATCTTTAGACTCTAACTTTTTGGGTTCCCCTCATATTTCCGTTCAACCAAAAAGCTAAGCTTTTTGCTGTGGGATCTACAGCCAAGTTGGTTGGCCCGCCGGAGAGGAGAGGCCTTCCGGACGAGGTTCCTGGCGGCAGCGGCGCTGGCATCTAGCCTCGTGAAGCTCAACGAGATCACCAAGGCCTTCTTCCGCTGAGCCTTGGCTAGGGAGGTTTAGTCATATATATATATATATCCCTCACTTAAAGGGAATCCCCCCCAAAAAAGTAAAATAACAAATGAAAATGGGGCCTCTCAACTCTTTTTGTCTTTGCGGCTTGCCGAGTGCACTGAGGGCGTGGCGCTTTGAGGGGGGGGGGTTCTTACAATACCAAGGGTGCCAAGCTACATGTATTTGTTCTTTCACTTTGGGAGCCGGTTGACCTTTTGGAGGTAAGGAAAATTGTCTGAACCAACCGGGGAACAAGGTGCCAAAGCCAAGGATTCACTGCATTCTGTGGGTTGGTTCCTTACGCCCCTGGGGTGGAGCCCAATCGCGGCAATGTCTCTCATACCCCGGTTTTGCATCTCGCAACAGGGATAGGGGCTGATTCCTTCATTCGACCAACCAGGGTGCGACATATGTAGGACATACTATATCTGGGCTGGACATCCCCCCCCCGCGAGAACTCTAGGCCGCCTCCAAACAGACAACTGCAAAAGGTCAAACCACGGAGCACCCAAGTTATTCAAGCGTTACCGAACTTGTTTCTTGGGTTCCACACGAAGCATGGTCAACTCCACAAAGAAATGCCTCCCTTATCGGGTCACGAGTTGCCTTGACCATTTACGTCGGTGCCAATATTGTGGGACTCCTCAACACAGAGTGGTGTTGATTCTGATTTCCGTTTAAACCATCCTCAAAGAGGGCTGGTAGATTCAAAAAGACCAAGCCCATTAACAGAGCCAAATGGTTTGCCGTTGGTTTCCCTGTGAACCCAGCCAAAAGGCACCACCTTTTTTGACGCACACCCATGTGGCTGTGTCGTACCCCAAAAATGCGTGTTGCTTCCCCTCTTCTGCTAGAAACCACCCCAAAATCTGTACCCCAAAATGCGTTTTGGTTTCCCTCTTCCCTTAGCCCCCCCAGAATGTTTTGACACCTTCCGGGGCATTTCTCGCTGCCGACTTGGAGCAAATTGGCTTTAGCTGCGCAGCTCTGCCGAGACTTGCCTATCAACAAGGTCCACGCCAAGTACGCAGGGCACAGCCAGGGCACAACATGGAAGTTTGACCGAATCATGCCCACACCGATCCCACTAACTGTGGCTGAGTACCCCAAACTGCCACCCAAAATGCGCACCAGAGCAAGACGTCCCTTAGAATTCACCCCAAAAAGCGGACCCTCAGAACACGACGCGCCAATCTTCCATTTGGGTATGGGTCAAAATTAAACCACAAGGGGACCGCAGCCTTTAGTCCATATTTCCATTTACCAGGCTTCCATGTCGGGCACCTATTTTTGACCCACAGCCATTTAGAGAGAACACCTTCGCTCGCAAGGGCAGCTCGCTGGACAGATCGCCATCCTCGAGAAGGAGGCCCAGCAGCGCGTGGCTCCGAGCGCCAACGCGAAGGAAGCGGTCGCCAAGGTGTGAGCGAAACGGCCTCGCGGCACGGGGATTTGGCATGGCTTTTGAGCTCATGTGGCTGCGGGTCAAAAGCAAACCACCAGAAACCCGCAGGGTGTTGGTCCTTGGTTCTATTTTGGGTGCCTACTGTTTGACCCACTGCCATGTGTTTGTTTGTTTGTTTGTTTGTTTGTTTGTTTGTTTGTTTGTTTGTTTGTTTGTGTGTTTGTTTGTTTGTTTGTTTGTTTGTTTGTTTGTTTGTTTGTTTGTTTGTTTGTTTGTTTGTTTGTTTTTGTGTTTGCAGTCTATAGATGTTTTGTTTGGTGGTGTCCTGTTTTGTTGTGGGCTTTGTTTGTTTGTTTGTTCGCTCCTTTGTCCGTTTGTTTGCTTATTTGTTTGTTTGTTTGTTTGTTTGTTTGTGTGTGTGTTTTTGTTGCTCTGTGTTGCTTGTTTTGTTTGTTTCCTTTTTTTGTTGTTGTTTGTTTGTTTTGTGTTTGTTGTTTGTTTGTTTGTTTGTTTGTTTGTTTGTTTGTATGTTTGTTTGTTTGTTTGTTTGTTTTCTTGTTGGTTTGTTGGTGTGTTGCTTTGATTGTTTGGGTTTGTTTGTTTGCTTGCTTGTTTTTTGTTTGTTTGTTTGTTTGGTTGGTTGTTTATTTGCTTGCTCGCTTGTTTGCTTGGCTGCTAGTTTTTTTTTTGTGCGTGTTTTGATGTTTAGTTTGGTTGTGTGTTTACTTTTTTGAACTACTACTTAGTGTCTGCTCTGCAGCTTCATTCTCAAACAGAGGAGTCGCAATCAAAGCCTGGGCAGAAAAAGGCCAGTGTGGCTAGGACCTTTGATTGTGGCGAGGTCAAGCCCATGAAAAAAAATATCCTTTAGTTTGGAGCCCCTGAATACTGCAAGAGGAGTAGGAGGTTTTTGGATGGCGTATGTTCCGTCCACAAAAAGGGAGTTCTCTATGCAAGCTCCCATACACAAAGTCAGAAATTGGAGACTCCCTTCCGAGATAACCAGTGTACCACCTCTGCGATTTGAGGAAAGACACCTTTCAGGATGTATGCGTAACTTAAACACACAATCCATGACTTAAGCTGAATGCAAGCCAGCAAGCAAGCAAGCTACACAAAAGAAAGGTGCACAAGTTGAATACAATCAGCAGTCAACACAGCTCATGTTGGCCTTTGGCATGCATACATCTAAGAAAGAAAAAAACACTTGCAAGATGGGCTGTTTCTTTGTGACTTCCATTTCAGACAATCCAACACCTGGCCCCTGGCGCGCCTAGGTTGGTGGGCTTGCAGTCCTGGATCATTTCGCGAAGCGCTCTGACCTGGCGGTGGAAACGAGCGAAAGGGTAAAATTCAAAAGGCTTGTGCAATTCTTGCCTGCTATTGGGCAACGGATCTTTAGACTTTAACTTTTTGGTTGAAATCAAGTTGGGTTTTCCACTAAACCCCAAAAACGTGTTAAACTTTTCGCAGGGGTGTCAACAGCAACCAAGATTTGTGCTTAGAATGGCGAGCTTGCCTGGGGCAAAGCGAGCTCACCATGACAAAGGTCCTTCAATTTGGAGTTTCTCAAGTCTGGACAGTAAATCTATCATGGTGTGGCTACATCGTACACGTACACAAGATTATCGTTTGGGTTACCCCCCTTGGTGAATCTCTTCTGGGAAACCAACCGTAACCGCGCCGGTGCAGGTTTTTACCCTCGCATCGCTCGACGGGCGCTCCACTCGCAACTTGAGCTTTTGCTCACTCGCTGAGCGCCGCGGAACCGCACTGCCTGGCTCAAGAACCGGGTAAACATGTCCATTGGTCAAAAGCCCGTACCCCCCTGAACATCCCAATCCCCACTAAAATAGACTAAAGTGAGTGGTGCACCTACCCCAAAATGGGATCCCATTAATTTTGACCCACAGCCACATGGGCGGGTTTGAAGTTGTGCAGCTTTATTTGGCCGGCTTTCGGAGATGAGCAACTGCGCAGGGAATGGCCAGTCCTCAACAAAGCAACGAGCAAATGAGGCGTTCCGGAGCCGGCAGCAAGCTGCGAGCTAGGTGCCACCAGTCATTAGTTTGTCATCGCGTGGGCTCTGTTTCCTAGTTGCCCTTCAAAAACCTCAAGGGATACTTCGCGGACATCGTATGATAATATACCAGATATACAAGGGGTATTTACTGCCTTACTAGAATATGCGTGGGATACACGCATCCACACCTCCATCCCTGAAATCACCCTTGAGAACTACTGCAAAGACAAGCACCTCAAAAACGCATGCTTCCCAAGTTGGGTTTTGTGCCATGTGTCGTTCGCAAGCACCACGGTGCATGCGCATTCGCCCGCTTCACTGGGCGCCTTGCCTGCGTTTATGGTCGGCGCTGATCAGTTTCTTCAGATTGGAACTAGGTCCCCCAGGGTCGTGCCCTTTTGCCGTTTCTTTTTTGGGGGAGGGTCCCCCTACTGAAATAGACTACAGAAAAAGGGGTACCCTTGTTCTAACCTCTCTACTGGAGGACCTAGGGAAGCTCTGGAAGTGTATTCTCTGAGTGCGTTCTTTCTTAGGTCGCCTTTTTGGCGTAGACCACAATGAAAGCCACCAATTTTGAGGGTCCCCCCATCTTCGGTACAGGCCCGTATTTGGGTTGGTATCCAAATGGTGCACCCCAGACATTTTCGGTGCAGTCCTTTTGCTTCCCATAACTCGCAGAAGGGTAGCTCAGGAAAAGGCACATTGTCGAGACAGATTTGAAGGCTTGGCTGATGGCAATGGATACACAATGAGGTCCGTGAGGAATTGGAAGATGGTCTTAGGTCAGGGGACCAGTTTAATAGGTTCGTCAACACCATTCTCAGGTATGGCTGTTTAGGGGTATGGAGCCTATATACCAGCAATATGGGTTAGTTAGGCAGCATCTACCCCTGAAAATGTGTGGTAAATGTCTAGAGTTCGGATAAACGGAATCTGATCGTTTGCATCCAAAAGGAACCCATTTGGTAGAACCATTCAACGGGTGACCGAAAAGAGGTTCATTCTTGACGAGGGAAGCTGTGATGCGCATCATATCTATGCGCGCTGCTGTCCTTCCATGTGGAAGGCTGGTTGGACATGGCGCACCCCACCGGGCGCCACCGGGTATAAACCCCCACAGATTTATTATTTTCACGGAATCATCCACTTGAAAGCTCACACCCATGCGAGTGGCAAACAATATGTTTGTTTGGTTTTGGTCGATCCACTCAGGAAGTGAGTCGGCTGAGACACTTGAATTCCATGAGAAGCGTCCTATAATATAATAGGCTTCAAGAACACATAGCAACGTAAGCGTGCTTGCATATCAAAAAACCTTCAATGTTGACATGATTCACTTGCGACTACTGCATGGGCTCCCGATCTACACCTGGTGCATTGAAAACGCCTCCACAGCCGTTGTTCCGAAAACAGTAAACCCAAAGCATGGAGGCCAACGAAAGCCGAGCCGTTCCCCACAGCTGGGGTCAGGTTGGAGAATTTGGCGGCACGGCAATGTTGATCTTATAGGAATCCAACCCCAGTTTAGTTTATTGGGGGGTGGTTCTTGGCCCCTCCAAAAGTGGTCTGATTCAGACCCCTAAAATCAAGGACACCCCCCATTTCTTAATAAATTGTTTGGTCGAAAATCATATGGGGTCAAAGGTCAACATCATGAAGGAGACCTCCCAAAACGGTTTTTGGAGGCATTCAGAGCCAGGCCACGGGGTGAGTTTCAACCTGAGACCACTCAATTTGGGAGACAGCAAAATTTGTCTGCTGGGGAAACAGCAGTTGGTGCAATTCTTTCTCACTTCCTAAGTTCATGCACGTTTTAGTTTGGACCATTTTGGTGGTAAAATAGAAAGTTCAGACATTTGTTGGCCCATGCACTCAGGAAGTGCGCTTTTTCTATCAGGATCACTGTAACTGGGTAGCCATCTCCGCTAATTAGTGGGGATAAAAGATGTCGATTTCTCAGATGCGAGGCCAGCTGCCGCGTGAATGGCCATGAGGTGGCTGATGATGTTGCCCTTCACTGCTGGGCTGCCTGGCCAGGGCAACCTCTCATTGACATCGTGTTTTTTCTCCTTAATCTGTTTTGACTGCGGAGTATTCCGGAGGTCCCTAGTCAGAGGAATCCCCCGAACATGACATTTTCGGTTAGGGGTGCACCCTTATTATGGTCCTTTCGACAAATCCGAAGTTAACTCCCTTTTTTTTTGGGGGGGGGGTTTTTGGAGAGGGGGGGGGATGTCACTCACAAAAGATGATGACCCTTGAGGAGCATGCCAACCGCAGTGCCTCCAAGCAGCCTTTCGCCCTGCTCAGTTTGACTCGTGCGTGGTCTCCATTCCCACGTTGGTCATCCACCCGATTCGTAAGTGGCAGCCCTAAATGCGTCCGAGTCGGGTTTACCTGAAACCCACATGTTGCAGGGCGGGCATGCAGCAATCGCCTGGTTTAGATCACAGAGGCTGCACGGTTCAGGGCAACTTGCCCTGTACACTTTCTGGCCAGAGTTGAACCTGTGACCAAGATTATGTCAAAAGGGGCAGACATGGTGTTTGTTGCTTTTTCCTTTTGATATCCCAGGAAACCAGCCTCAAAGAACGCAACCAAATAGCGGCTGCCTCCGCACGTTCGATGGCCTGAACCCACCATTGGGTGAAAAGATATAGGATTCCAGGGATGGTCGACTTCTGTGACAACTGACTGGGAACTCGAAAGGGTGCTTTGCTAGCTTTGCCACATTCCCATGATGTCATAGCTTAGGGTTTCTACCCCCAGAGAAGCACCTGAAATTAAGCCCCATCTCAGTTTAAGAACTGAAGTAGCTTATGCGAGACATGATCACCTCCGAAACTGCGAGGATCAACAGAACACTCATGTATGTGGGGTAAGTTTTGGGCGCTGTCCTTTGCTATGGACCCACCCTCCCTTGTACTTCTCATACTGCCAGGCCTGAGGGTTGTGACTCCAATGCTTTTTTTTTGACCCTGCAAGGAAACACACCGACACTTCCAGGGCCTTTAACACCAACCTTTGTTGGATCCACCTAAAGGCCAAAAAGAGCTATTTGTTGGATCCACCTAAAGGCCAAAAAGAGCTATTCGACGAGCGTTTGACCCAAACAAATCGTTAAAACAGTGAACCTTTCGGTTGAACCCAAACACGGAAACCACCAAAAGCGCATGTCTTGCGGATTCCAAACGCAACGGAAACCGACCCTCAGTTTAATGTTGATTCAGAGCCACAAGAAGAGGGTAGCCAAGGGACGATGATGGCTCTTGATCCTGAACACTATTTACACTGATGTTGACCCCGGATAAATACCCCCCGTCCATGAATAGCGGGGTGTTCCCTCCAAAAGCGCACTAAAAGAAAACACCCCCGTCTCTCCGACTCAACCAGGGGTCCTGCTTACATCCGGGGTTCCCATCAGTATAGTCACTACATCGTCTACCGATGTTTGGGTGCTTTTGTCCCTTGCTTTAGGCTGCCAGTTGGGCCCCTGCCCATGCCCATGGTGCAGCAGATCCGCTTCAAGCAGAGCCCCTACTTCTTCGTGCCGCAGCGGCCTGAGAGAACTGCGCGTTGGGGTCTTTGGGGAGGATACCATCAGCCTGAAACCACTGGATTTGAGAGACACCGAAACTTTCAGCTGTGGGGAAACAACAGGTTCAGAATTCAATTCTTTCTCACTTCCCGAGTTCATGAACTTCAGTCAGGGGTTTGGACCATTTTCGTGGCATACAAAAAGTTGTGGTTTCTTTTTTGGGGCCACTCAGGAAGTGAGCCAGGTTGACACCATCAGCTCCTGCCATTTGAGCAACGCCCTCAAAACCCGGATAGATAGGCTTAGAAAGGGAGAATGCCAACCAGAAATGAGGGGGCGCCTTTTTGATTTCTTACATAGTTCTCGGTAGACCATGTTGATGCCAGCCAGTGATGCATTTGACTTGCTTCTGTGGGTCCTTGGACCAAAGAAGAACCATGATCCTTGAAAGGGTCCCGTCAACCAGTCATTCAAGATGATTCGGGGAGGCTGCATTTTGCTTGACTGTTCTTCGGGTGTCCACACAAACAAAAAATCAGCATTGCCACTCGCTGAAACCAGGAGCCTTGAGTCTCCGAGCATCTATATAGGCCAAGTGTTTGTCAATCTATTCAAACCCAATGCAGGCAGTCCCAACTGGAGCTTGACCGTGTGAATCCAGGCAAGATATGTGGCTGTGGTTGTCAAAACCAATCGGATCCCGTTTTGGGGTAGGTGCACCACCCATTTTAGAACCTATTTTAGTGAGGATTGGGATGTTCACTGGGGGTACGGGATTTTGACCCATGGCCACGTGTTGGAGCAGTTTGCAGCCTTGTGCATTATGTGTGGCTAATTATGCCGGGTGCATTGTGTTGTTGCCTGTTTTGGATGCTTATGACTCCTTATGACCTGAACATTGCTTTCCGTTCTTGATTCGCCGGATATTGGAAACACGCTCCATGTTTGCGGCATCCAAAAGCATGCATAAAGTACATACATTTGGCACCTACTCATGAAAGCACGTTCCAGTATTCTGGTACGCTTTCAAAGTACTCATCGATTTAACAAGTCTTCCTGGTTTCAGATTTGCCTTAGGGGTTTTAACCCTTCAAAGTCACTACCAAACAAGGAGTGCCTTTTTTTGGGGGGGTCTGGGGACAAGCTGGCTTCAAAGTGCAGCCCCTTTGGTGCTGTCCAAAGGCAATTCCACTTTTTGTGGTGGTTCAACTACCATTGGGCGCGCCATCGAAAATCCCCTGGTTTCCAAAACCGAGTTCTTAAATCTCGACCAAGACCATGGACATCCATTGGAGGTCTAAAGCACACCACAAAAAAAACGAAAATGATTTCGCCCTTTCTCACCCGCAGGGCGCAGCTGCTGCTGAACGCGAGCTTCCGAAACTCCTGGCAGCCGCTGAGCCGCGCTCGTTTTGCTTCCGTTAGATTCCAGCATGCGGCGTGCACTCATTTCGCTATGTGGCTGTGGTTGTCAAAACCAATGGTACCATTTTGGGGTAGGTGCAGCACCCATTTTTGTCTGTTTTAGTGGGGATTGGGATGTTCACTGAGGGTACGGGATTTTGACCCATGGCCATGTCAACACATACAACCTCGCAGCGGAAACAAACCGTGTTTTCCCGAATAAGCTGGATAGCCTTATGCCTCCCGACAAGACCTCAACATGGTGTTGTGCCAGTGGTTTCCTTTGAACACCCGACACAGTTGGGAATCCTCAAAAAAATGACACCCTTTTGGTTCGGGGCCCGGGGTCTTCTCCAAAACTATGTTTTAAGGCAGACAAAGTATGCAACATAATTTGAAAGTGTATATATATATATATATTAGTATATATGTATGTACATATAGATATGTGTTCTCTGTTCACCCCAAATGTGGGCCATTGCATAGATCCATGGACCGGTTTTTGGAGCCCGGCAACCCCCTGAGCTCCCATGCAAAAAACCTCCGAGTTTCAAGTGGTTTAGTTTCAGCATGATTTCCAGGCTCTTAATATAATCACATAAACAGTAGTACTTGTCTCATTCGAGGTGAACAAGCATGTGAGAGAGTTCTTCATTTCACCAAAATGTTGCCAGCACTGTTAAATGTGCATCCTCACAACCTGCAGCTCGAAATTGGTTCAATTGTCCTTCGACCAGACATGTAAATTGCCTTCATTCCGCATAGAACACAACCCGGGGTGGGTATTTTCGTAGCTATGCACCTCAAACTTCGAGGTACTTCGACACGAGAGTCGACTTGTGTTTTGAACGGCCATGAGAAGACTAGGTGTCTTGAAATGCACATCTATGCCACTGCGCACATCAAACCAATGGTCATATGACTGTCGTTCAGCAGGTTATCTTATCCAGATGCTTTTTTGAAGGAAGACATGGTCATGGCGGCTTGGAAGTATGTCCCCCCACATCCAAACCAGCAGGCGCATTCCTATGACATGTGACCCAATCAATCAACCGTGCACACTTGCTTGACCCATGAATTCCAACACGGGGCTTCTCGCTTGCTATTTTAGGTGCAAGCGATCGGAACCGGTGCTCTTCGCCTCTTCATATCACGATCTAAGATGGAGAAACCTCTACCCGAAGCTAGTGCCTGCAGGGTAAATTGGGCTATTCCCTTATATATATATATATGGTCACTTTGTGGGGGTAGCTTCGGTTTTTTCCATTTGCTAAGAGTATGCTTTTCCCTTGTCTGTCTTAAAAGGGAATCCGTCACTGCTGGAAAGATGCTTTTCTCTTTCTAGGGGCGAAAACGCAAATGTTTGTCTTAAACGGAATCTGTCACTGCAAAGATGCCACTATTCTTTTCCAGGGGGCGAAGCGAACACACAAATGAAAGGTGTGGGGTTGGACACCGCAGATTCGGTCTGGGCGCTGCTTGGCCAAGGTGCGAGGAGCAGCCGGAGCCCTTCTTCTGCGACGTGGGCCTGGGCTTCTCCGCTGGCCGCGGCTGGCGCTGCGACGGCAGGAGCGGGGCTCCGCGCGAAACGCCGCGTCGAGGTGACGTGAGTTGCGGCCCATTTGCTGAAGAGCTTGGGCCAAGTACCCAACAAAAACCAGGGGTTTTATGTGAAATGTCCTGGTTGGCTGGTTTATGATGTTCATTGCTACAACTATATTGTATATATATATATATGTAAACTGCATACCCAGGGATTCAAGAAAGGCGCCTTTTTGGATTTGCGGCATGTCCTTCTGAATTTGCTGCGGGTTTGTTAAAACAACTTGCACAACTTCGCAGTGGTGACATTTGGCCCACATCAACAAATCAGGCTTTGCAAGCGATTGTGCGTGATCACCTAGTTGCGTGTCATGGACACCTGCCTGCCCCACTCCTTTTCTGGAAGGCGCCCGCATGCAAGCCTTCCAAGAAACGCCAGTTGAAGTAGAAATGTCAGGCCAAGTCAGCAGACATGGCTGCGAAACATGTAACTGGCAGTTCCGCCAAGATTTTGCCGAATAGAGCAAACATAATGTAGGCAAAGAAACGTTCCTTCCTGAGGGTCCAGGTATATTATATATATATATTATATCTTTGGTGCATTTTGCTTGGCTGTTAGGACTTTAACTTTTTGCCAATGAATGGGTTTTCCACTAAACCACTAAAAGTTATTCACAATCTGCAGAGCAGATTTCGCCACCGAGATATGCACACATTGCCTATATGTCACAATACTGGGTATGTCTTTTTTGGGGCCACCCCTTGGAAGGGACACCGACGTCCAAAAGCCATACCGGGGGTCCCCGAGCCCCGTTTCGGGGCCTTGGGGTTTGAGTTGGTCACTTCTTTTGGCCCGACCTTTGGACGTGAGATGTTGAGTAGGACGTGAGATATTCGTTTTGCCCTTTTTCCCCCAAAAGGACACCAGCAAACGGAAGGAACAAGTGCTGAACAAGCATTTTGCCCAACAAGAGACAACCAAGTGGGCAGGAAATTCTGTAGGGATACCCTGTTGGGGGTTTTCAGGGAAGCCAAAAGGGAGCCACTGATTTCATCCCATGTCGAGAGTTTGCCCGCGTCAGGAGCTTTGACCACACGATGGATGCCGACACCGAGGGCATCTTCTTTGATCGCGACCTGCAGTGCAACGGCACCGCGCCTCGGTTCCTTTGGCGTTTTCGCTGAGTTATCCTCATTTCACCTGGGGTTCAGTGGTTTCATTGGCCAAAGTTAAAGGCAAACCCTACCTGGCTGGGTTTAAGGGATGAGCAAACGAGGGGATGAGCATGTACGCACTGAAGGAGGAAAGGAGCAAGAATGGAGGCTGCAAATCATTAGTCGACTCGTCTGGCTGTCGAGCTCAGCCTGTTGGCCTTTTTGCCAGTCGAGGTTCGGTCAAAATGTCCAGGTCCGGGTTTTGAGGAGGCGGGGAACAAGTTTTTATTTATTCATTTTTTTACCAATGCCAGGGGACGGTCTTCTTTGGGCTTTGTGTCACCGGATCATTTCAACCACAAAAGCCAAAGGACGTTTGTGTGGTCTACCAACATGGAATCAGAGACCTGGTCCCTCGAGGAGAATGGTCCAAACCTGGACCCCCACAACGTGAGGTTTCATGTTTGTGGAAGGGAAACAACAACGTCACCCACAACCCGGCCTTGTATTCGCTCAGAGCGAATCCGGGACCGAGCACTTGGTGTTGCCAACGTGCCCATCAACCGGGGACAGGAATTCATTTTTGACCAAAGATCGATCGTGTTTTGAAGGGACCCTGAAATCATAGATAGGAATAGAGTAAACAACGGGTTGTTTGGAAGTTGGCACTAAAAAGGCTACACAACCTGAGCATGTGTTTGTTGTGTACCCCTGTGGGCCAAGTTGTGGGACCGGAAGAACGAAGGGGTCCCCATTTGCCGCAACTTCCGCAGTGGGCGTATGATATTTTCTGCCCATACTCGGCCTGCTCCTGGTTTAAGAGGGGATTTCTGCATCATGGACACGAGAGTGAGATACAGCCTACGGTCGTTTGAAGTGATGTGCTGCGGCATAGGCAACTTTGAAAGCGCCTGGTTGCAAGTCCCATTTCTGAGGGGTACTTCCTCATTCCTTTAGGGATCCTTTTCTCCAGAAAGCCAAGCAAGGACGAAAAAGCTGGGTTTTGAGCAGAGTGGCTGAAACAACTGGGTTGCTCAAAATCAATCCTGAAACCTCATGCCAAATGGCAGTGGTTTGCTTGTGTTGTGCCCGCGGATTGCTTTGCATCCATCCGTTTGAACCAAAAAAACAAATGCCCGCCCACGCCTGCGAGATGTGCCCACCGCACGCCTTCAAAAGTGGGGCCCCCGAGACCCAATCGCCTTGGAACTTGGAGTCAAGAAGCCAGTTGACCCGTCGGTGTTTTTTCACCAGAGCGAGCGAACTTGAATTCGACTTCCATGGACTAATCCCTGAAAAAACAGGGTGCAAATGCTAGGCGGATTTTGGCTTGGTATTACTGTATTACTGAAAACCACGGGTTCCAAAGGAATATCCCTTTATTGTAAGCCGTACAAAGCGCATATTCAACTCGTATTGTTCCGTGCTGCCTGTAGCAATCAGGTTTTCAATCTTCATCCCTGGGATTTTGTACTCCCTGCTTTTTGTTCAGGGTTTGCGTGCTCGAGGAAGGAGTGGGGCTAAACAAACATCTGCCCCAAAACTGACTCGTTTTGGAGGGATTGTTTGTAGGGTCCCTTTGTGCTTCTGGAACCCGCAAATGGAACTTGCGCCCTGTTCGAACCCTTTGGGCACCCCACAATAACTCTGTTTCTGTCAGGGCTCATGCTGGTTTCCGTCCTGAAACACCCCCAAGTGATAGAAAACCCACCAAGGTGGGTTCAGCAACAAAAAGGCTTTAACAGGCCAAAGTGTGGACCCCTAGGTTTTTGGCAAAATACGGGACCCTTGAAAATGAGTTCCAGTCCGGATGCTTTTCCTCTTTGTGAGTTTCCACGGAAATCCCCTTCGCAGTAAGGTAGTCTTGATTGTGATACAAGGGCCCTGCATCTTTCCCACCATGTTGACAATTGAGACCAAAGCACATGTGTGAGGTTCTCAAATCTGAGGTTCTCAAAATTAATTGTTGCATGGAATGCTTGGGGGCGCTGCTTTTCCTTTCTGCCGCGTTTGAGCTCCAGAGTCTGAAGCTGCTTGGGTGTTGCTTCCGCCTCGACACCTCGAGGTGTCTTGGGAGGCAGCGCTGCCTTCCAATGGCCTGCACTTTGTGGAGATTTTCCTGGATGCGCCTTGCATCTGGAGTTTGCTTTGCGTGGGCTCTTTGTTGGGGCTGGGGTGAAGCCGTTCACCTTCCTGTTTACGTTGGCGCCATTGTGTGTGTGTGTGTGTGGGGTTGTTTTCTCTTTTTTTTCCTGGGATGGGCCATGTTTTCTCCTCATCCGGTGCATTGATTTGAGGAAAAGGGCAGGGATTGGCCGTACCAGGGTGCCATGCAAAAGGAACCCCTTCTTGAAGGTTCCCAGGAGTTCTGGCTGTCAAGGCAAGGTGGGAAGCGTGACACTGTATTCCTTCGTAAATATCGAGCCCTTGATTCCCAGATGTAATTCACAGGTTTCGGTGGTGGATGTTTGAGGCTTTCCGTAAAGTTACTGTGTCGGACCGTATGTGTTTTTTCAGCTGGAGAAGATTTCCCGCTTGATGGCATGGGTGTGTGGCTCAAATGAGAACCGGGGGTGGGGTGACAGGGGGGGGTCCAGGAAAGTGCAGGACGGCCTCAAAAGCAAACGGCGGTACTTTCCATTTGGTTTTCCTTGAACCCCCCCAAAAAGGACATGGGTTGTTCGGTGTTGAAGGTGAACTACAAATAAGGCATGCGCGTCACCCCTCAAGCCTGCTAGCAAAAGATCCTGAAATTTAGTTTAGTTGATCAACCTTGTCTCACTTGCACAACCTTGTTGAATGCTACATGTCGGGTTGCACTTCCGATCAAGCTTTCCCTTCCGAGGTTCTACCAGAGCAGTACTCCCAAGGCGGCTGTTGGCTCAACAGCTACCAGATGACCGTGTCAAATCCCCGACACTTCGGCGAAATCACAAGGGAAGTGGGGCAACTGTGAGGAATGCTCGGTGCGTCCTGACTGTGAGCTTAGAGGCACAGCCTTCGCCCCTCCACTGTTCAAGATCTGCACCGGCTGTGCAAAGACTGCGCAAATTCAGTTGTGAGCTCCAGGGATTTGGCTTGTGACCGACTACGCAATCCTCATTTCGGGTTGGGGAATTACTAAAAGGACCTTGAAATGCGCAAACTCTTCACAGGAACCCATGCCAATGGCAGGAGAGGGGCATGTGTCATCTTCCCACTCAACCGGTCGGTGCTGCGGTACACTGCGGTGTACACCTTTTGCTGCTGCTTGTGAGTCTTTGTTTTACCGGTTGGCATCATAGCCAAGTATTTGAGCCATCCAGCATTGCTTCTTCTTGCTGGCTGTGTTGGCTGATGCGATTTTTCATGAAGATCACCGTGCAATGGAAGCCAAGGCGGTTGACAGAAGTCTCTTTTCAGGGGGATTTTGGCTCCGTGTCAACTAGCCTGAGTACAGTGAGGAGGATTACAGTTGAAACCAACTTAGAATGGAGGGCTGCTGGTGAACGCGGAGGAACGTATCCAATCTGATCTCTAACAGGGTTCTTGTCTGAGTCATGAAAAAAACATGTAACTGCAACAGAATCGAAGCGCTTCTGCAACAGCTTGCTTGTTTTCTCGATTCCATCAACATGTTTTTGTTGCGACGATGCGGGTGGACGAAATCCTTCACCACCTAAACAACGCTGGAATGCTGATTCCCCTGTAAAAGCCAACACACAGCATTTTTCAGAAGGATCATAGTACCAATGGTACTTTAACATGATCTGCAGCCTTCCAATCAATCCCCAGCCACCGCTTCCCGTCTTAGGTGCCCAGCAGCGGCTGCGGTTTCGCGGTCTCTTCCAGGCGCGGGGGTGTGTTTTCGGGTTTGTTGGAGTCGCTTTACCCCTGTTTGGGGGGTGCTTTGAGGGACAATTCAAGGGAAACGCAAAGGAATGATTTGAGGCATGCAAAGTTTGGGGTGTTGCCCCAAAGGTCAAGCCCACATAGTCACATGATGAAAGGAATTGTTGGGGAATGTTTGGAATGAAACTATGCCTTGTTGAGCGGCGGAAGTGTGCAAAGTGGTTGACTCCTTGCCGATTCTTTTCAACCATAGCTGTTTCAATAGCCATCCCTTTATAGCTACGTATCTCTTTGGGTGTTGTTCCGACACTGACCCCCCCCCACTCACCACCCCCCCCCCGCCCTTTGCCCACCCCCCTCCCCTGCCAGGTGCTGGTGGCGGATCGGCGCGTGATGCTCAGCGGCACCTCCTTGGCCTGCGGGCGGCTGCTGGCGCTTGCGGTGACCAAGGCCGTTGGGCTTCGCACCACGGACCAGTGGGCCGGCTTCATCCAATGGCACTGTTCCAAAGGATAAATAATGGTGCGTCGACTTTTGAGGGAACCCTTTTTGTTTTTTTTTTAAAGGGAAGCCAAAAGGAAACACCCATTTTTTGGTACTTCTATTTGACACATACCCAAATGCGATTATCTTAAGTTGTGGCAACACTTGTGAGTGCGGTGAAATGTATGTATTGTCCACCCCTTAAACACGATGCATTTGTTGCCATAGTCCGAGAAAAGGCCTGTAAAAGTGAACTCAGAGTTTGCCTCCTACTTGCTTTGGGCCAAGCAAGCGCCATGGTCATCATACAACAGAGCACCTAGGACCTAGGGGGCGTAAGATAAATGAGGGGAGTTCTTTGAATGAGGGGCCTGACAAGTATGTACATGCTTTCATCTTGCATGGTAACTGATTAGCTACAGTGTATGTTCTACATAAATATATATACACATATGGGGATGTGTCTATCCAACGCAGCTTTTGGTGTCATTACATTTGGATATCTCCCCTTGGCCAGGTCGTGCAGGATTTTGGCCACCCACAATAGGGATCCGGGGAACCCATTTCGGACGCAAAACTCCGCGTTTGCCAGGTGAACCCTTGGGTTGCCAACATCAAGTGCTGGGACTCTCGGCCGATCATTTGGACGCCTGCACAAGAGAAGGCTCTAAGAATCTCACTGCTTTTCACATATATATATATGTATATCATGTATACATTTGCCGATGGAATGCAGCATATGACGTCCCAGCGAGCCGGCGCAAGAAATTCTTTACAGAACTGGGTGTAGAGTCGTTATAGCCTCCGTATTCAACCGTCATCCGGAGCCCCGGGAAGGTGATGGGAATTCTTTGAGCCCCGGGAAGGTGATGGCTGCTGCAGATCCCTCGAATCAGGGCACAACCATTTTCTGGTACGTGCACTTGACGTTTGGCTCTCCGCTGGTTTTGCAGATAGAGCAGAAACAAATATATGCAAGGGCGAAAATGTTGTTGCTGAAGTGGTGACTTGGAATTGACACGTGGCTATGGGTCAAAACCAATGGTACCATTTTGGGGTAGGTGCACCACCCATTTTAGAACCTATTTTAGTGGGGATTGGGATGTTCACTGGGGGTACGATTTGGCTTTTGACCCATAGCCACGTGGCCATGACCCCGTCAGCCTGGTCTTTTGCTGGCTG